TACAGAATTGTGACCACACTAATAACTTGCCCAGCACACTTCAGCAGTGCTGCTGTGTGAGCTACATATATGAAGTAAACTATATGATGGTGATATGAGGCAACTATCAGAAATGAGTATCTAACAACATTGACTGTAGTATAGTAATGTCTATCATTTATCACAAAAGCTGAATACTTCTTACAGCTGAGTAAATGTTTACACCTTAAATGGCCAGGACCCACCAGCAGGCCCAAAGTTTTATTACACACACCTATAATGTAAGAATAGCTTAGTTAGTTTGCATTGAAGTCCCTGTAGTTACTGGTTAATATGCCTTAGTATGCAATAAGCCTGGGATTTTTAGGTGTTAATGATGCAGGCTAGGTTAGGTTGTTGCCCAGCCAAACATTCTTCTCTCACAATGTTGCCACACACCTTTTTCTCTAGCAGTTTGCCTCCCCAGTGAAATCGCTGGGTCTAACCTGGCAACCCCATTGAAAAGTTCATTACTACACTATTTTTTTATTTACTGGTTCATTTTTAACACCATGTGAACTTTTCATTATAAATAAACCAACAATCCAAATGCTTGGAAGAAAATTTCAATACATTGATCTACATAAATTATTCTTCACTTTAAAATCCACACATCCACCTGCAAAATAGCTAATTTTGAATATACTGTTTCTGTGATGTCACAGAAATGAACACAGTTACATATATCCACCCATCAGCAATTTAGCCCCACCCATTTATGTTGAGACTATAAGAAGTGCTTCAGCCTATGCTGTCTTATGATTCATGCACAATTTAGGGCAGCCAATCAGAAAAGAGATAATTTACATGTGTCAGTCTTCAAAACACAGTTACAAAAACAGCCTGTTTAATTCTAAGAGATGAAGTAAAGTTGGTGACGCCTAAAAAGAATTATAACTGGTTTTTTGGTACCTAGACCCACACAACCATCATAAGTAGAACTGATGGAAGTAAATAAAATACAAAAAAGAAGGAAATAACGCCTTTAATAATGTTTTTCCTTGCCATTTCAGAGATACATGGTTTAATAACAACAGCAACAAGTGTACCATATAACTCTGAACTTTAAAAGCCCAGTAGGAAGTGGCAGACAAATGGTTCTTTAAACAATGCACAGGATGAGCTGCATGAGGGGTGGTCGCAGATTTACCAGTGAATTGGTAAAACTGAAATGTCAGTTCATTTCTAAGAGCCATAGGTGGGTCAGAAAATAAACAAAGTTGACCCCATGTGAGATTAGCTCATTAGCTCCTCTAGTAACAATGGAGCAGTTGTTCACTCTGATGAACATTCTGGTTGTGTGTACAAACAAGTTTTTACTGTGAGTAACAATGTCACTATATATCTACACACAATATTTAGTACATGTTGTCATTTGCTTGATAAAGCATGAGGCATTAAATGCTCTCTTTTCTAATATGGAAAAAAGCAAACTGATTCTAAACTTTTCCTGGTGAAAGCTGAATAACAGTGAATAATGTTGAACAGCAGACACTCAATTTCATGAAAATCATATATTAAAAATTCTAAATATTTTAAAATATTCTATTTTCCAAACACATCAAATGAAATAGAATACAAATGATTAAGTCCTGCTACAATTCTGTGTACATGAGGAGTTTGGAGAAATATTCAATCTTATATTAAATACTTATTTCTGTTTTCTTACAAGTGCATATTCCAGGTTTTTTTTTTTTATTTTGCAGACTTCAAAAATGATCTTTACATCCTCCATTCTGGAGTCCACTCTTCTGAACTGCATGTAGTCACATTTTATTCAGCTTCTAGTGCAGCTGTTGGATGGACCACAGTAAAACTTTAAGCATGAAAAGAGTGCCATCTTCTGGCTCTTCCTTTTACATCCTGGTAAGTATAATTATATGAGCAGGGGTAGCATGGGTAACACTTTATTTGGAGTGGTCCTCTGTAGATGATTAATAACTCTTAACAGATTATCAATGACTCATCAACAACATATCAGTGAAGTATCAATAGTGAAGCATCTGAATACTGCTGTTGTCAGAACAAAACCTTGTATCTCCAAAATGGTAACTTTACAGGAGAAGGAAAAAACCTACTTTACTTTTAATGTAAGTCAATGGAACCAAAAGTTTTTCCAAGTAATTTTGGGCCATTTGTCTTGGTCCGTTCATCATGAAATTTACACACAATGTAAAGGACAACAGGCATTTTCAGATTATGTAAAAAACTGAAAAGCAACAAAAATGGAGATACGAGGTTTTGTTCCGACAACAGCGATACATTGAAGTAAATCTTGTAGATGTACTGTTGATACATTACTTACATTAATTAAGTGTATTGTTAATATGTTACTTCCATTACACAAAACCTGACCTTTCCCAAAACCTAACCCTAACCCTGGTCCTAATCCTAACCCTAACCTTAACTTTAACCCAAAACCTATTCCTAACCCTCATATGTTTATGACAGGTTACTGAAAGTCCATTGAGTGTTTGTTTTATCTAAAAAGGACCACTTAAAGTAAAGTGTCACTGGAGCATGGACCAGTAAGCACAGACAAGAAAAAAAAACACATAAAATATAAAATGCGCCATAACTTTTACACAGGCCACATTTCATGGTTCTTTTTTCAACATGTTAAATTCAGCAAATAAACAGTAATTCTGCAGAGGATGTGTTTACTTATTTTCACTTAGAGAATCAACCAAATGTCAAATTTATCAATGGTACCAAAACTTTTGCATATGACTGTATTTCACTTCTTTTAATACAGTGACAGTGCAGTCAGTGGTGACTGTAGGGTGTTGAGGGTCATTGTTTCTTTTTAATTTCATTTTGGTACCCTTAAACTGTATGTTTTGTTACTAAAAGGACTTAAAAGTTTAAAAGAAAAAAAGAAGTTCCATATAAATATGCTTGTTCTCTCATTGGTTGAGGGAACTAGGGCAACTTTCTGACGGGCTGAATCAAACAGCCTTGAGGACCAAATCTTTCCCAAGAGCCACACTTTGGAGAGACCTGAAATAGAAGAAGGATCATTTGTATATTCAACATGAAATTTTGAAACAATGTAAAGGACAGCTGCTCTGCTCAAATGATCCAGAAAAATATAAACAAAAAATAAAGATACATGCACTACATGCTCTAGTGCTGTGGTGAAGTGTTGAGGCCTACATTTCCCAAAAGTGCCATTTCTCAATTGCTAATTGTAGTATTGCGTCAGATATAATTTTTAAATTGGTAAACCAAACAAGTAACATGTAGCTTCTGTTTGCAGTGTTAAATGTTAAAGGTAAAAATGTGAATAAGAATGTTAATCGCTAACTACAAAAGTGCTGAAAGATTTTTCACATTTAAACATTTTCATATTTTATTATAAACTAAGAGGAACTGTTGAATGTGTTATAGTTGGTGAAACATGCTGTTTCTGGGCATTATTCTCTATATTATATATCATACCTACACTAGTTGACCTTTTTCGTCCAGCAGGAATCTGATCTTTTCCATTTTATTTTGGATCACATTCAAACGTTTTCAGCTTTAGTTTGTCTGATAGACTAGGAAATTCATGCACATACTTTAATCCTGTATTTCCACAATTGTCCACAAGGTGGCAATAGACACCCTTTCAATGTGCTGTAAGAGTTCTCTTAATCTTAGAGAAAACTTGCTCGTAGCTTAGCTTTTGATTGAATAGCTTTATAAATATAGGTGTTTAGCACACACCAGAATCAGTCACCTCACTTCCTGCATCTTAAGAGCTTAGTGGATGTGAAAAGAAAGTGAAATTTACTTTGCTGGCAATCTCATGATCCCCAGGCTTTGCCGCATAATTTAAATACAGAACTTATATTTTCACTTGTCTTCTCTCACTTCCCTTAATTCCAACTGATAAAGTGAACAGAGTATGTGCCATGCTTGCAAACCTAAGTGAAATGTCTGAAAAAGTGCTGTACTCATGATGAGCGCACCAATAGAAATGGTCCAAATTGCTTAGAATAAAATCATTTTAAATTAACTTACATTAAAAAATAATTAATTATGTAACCTGGCTTACAATCCACAAGGCCCAATTTGGTTTTGCAAACGATCAGGAACTTCAAATACAAAGAAACCAAGCGCTTCATACATGCATGCAATGTAGCCACGGATGAAAGAGGATCAGGATCTGAGATATATAATATTTTGGTAACACTTCCTATAAATCCTTTATTCATACTGCAGTATAAATGCATTTATAAGGTGTTACGTGGCATATATAATATTTAGAACTTATAATACCAGACATAAGCTTGTATAACTGTTCTTAGATAGTCTTAAATATATGCATAACACTTAATGAAGCTTTACATACTTATGTTGTAATGCACTATAACACTTAATAGAGCTTTACACCAAGCTGTTACAAGATTCAAGTGACTTTTTTATGTCTTTTAAATTTTACAGAATTTTCACTTTAGTAAATAAAACGTTATAGATTATGACAAGTGCCCCTTACAGGCAAAAAATATTAATAAACTGTACTAGTAATAGAGGACATACAACTTAGTAATTCATGTATTTAATAGTATATAATTTATTGTAAAAAATAATAAACAGCATCCTGTTTTCAATATTTTAAGAGGTACACTATTTAGAGGTATATCTTCTGAGCATCAGATGTGTATATATTGCTCTGCTCTATCTGCCAATGTAGGAACTGTTTAAGGCTAAATTAGCGAAGCATGCTTGAAGCCATTGCTAATGCTAGTTCTTTCCTAAATAAAGCAACTGTTATTTACTGTTATCTACTGGCTAGCATAAAGCACCTCTCTGTGCTAACAGTTTAGCTTTGGTTGCTAACTGCTAACAGCATCTGTAGCCAGCTAGCATAGCATTACAGTTTTTTCCAGTTAGCTAAAATATATCAACTCTATCAAATTCACACTACATATAAAAGTGTGCTTAAAAAATGATGCAGGTCTATGTATGCATGTATGCTTGCAGCACAAACATCAAAAGCTTGTTAAAATGCGTTATTGTGCAAAACAGCATTCACGCTTACAATGTTCTTATGAACAGATATTATAATGCTTTATAAAACCTGACATACAACCAGATGTGGATACAACCAGGGATGCACCATTGTAGCAACCAGTTAAAGAACTGACAAATTCAAGGGTTACATGGAAAGTCTTTTAGGCATTAATATCTAAAGCATGTTACAGATTACATATTTATTACAATTTCAAAATAAAGCAAACAAAAACAATGCACTGATTACGTATAAATAATGTACCAAAAGCAAATTCAGTGTAATTTTGCATGTTCTCTATGTTTGCCATTCCCTTATTGACATGTACCATAAAACATACAAAATGAAAACGTGATACTAGAAAAAGCTATGCTCAACAGGATTCCTCCTAACACTCACAACCCTCCATGGGACACATTTTATTATTTATTCTGCTCCCTTTGTGTCCATATTTGGTGTGAAATGTGAGTGACTCCTCAGTAATAATATAGGTAAGTGTATTATTACACAAACATATACATGGAAATGCTTGTATGTGCACTTGATACTTGATACAGAGTACTGAACATTTGTGAGGTGCTGCTAGCATCATTAATGACATAATTTCCCCTATCGGAACCTAGAAAGGATATTCTAACTATTATCCTCTTAACGCAAAAGTCATGTATGTGAATAATGTACAGTCCACAAGGTATTCAATCTCCGAGACATAAAATGTGTTATGTGACTCTTGGAGAAAACTATACAGAATCATAAGCTTCATAAAACAGAAACACTAAAATTTACGATGGCAAACTTTTTGGCTTTAAGCTACTATAGCAATAGTAATGCAAAAACTAAAACTAATTTCCATGGAATGTTCGATGCTTCAGGAGTAGTGGCTGATTTTTACAGTATAAAACCCATATTAAGCTATTTTTCTCTGGAAAACTGAGGGAGGCCAGTGACAGATTGGCAGCAACAGTGACCGTTGTTCTGTTTAACACATTTCCTCTTTCAATATACAGTCTTACACAAAGGTTTGGCCACTCTTAGTCAAACTACATGTTGTCATGAATTGTCAAACTGTAAACATTAATTTATTTGCTAAGTTTAACATATTTGAAAAAATAAAACACAAAACGTGACATGCCCACACTTTTGAATATGTGCATGTTATTTTTCCAGTGTGTTAAATAACAGCAAAGAAACAGTAATTGTGCACTAAAATTTGCAGAACAGTGTTCTCTATAGAGGATGTGTTAACTTAAAAAAGGGAGTCCAAACCTTTACATAAGACTGTATATGATCTAGTAATTTCCCACATTTTCTCCTCCTTCTTGTCATCCCTCAGTGCTTCCATAATGATTAACATTGCTTGTGGTCTCCTGTAAGGTTGTGTGTGAGATTTCCTCTTTGTTTCCCTTGGGCTGAGCCTTGAAGAAATCCGACACACAGAACACCTGTGTGGGGCAAAAAATGTCAATTAAGTTAAGAATTGAAACCATAAGCTTGTAAAGAAAGTCTGTATTAATGGCACTAAATCTCAGTACATTATTAGTACAATTTGGGATAGTATGAGAAATGCTAATAAAAAACAGAAAGCAGTGATTAGTAAATGTTGTTTGACTGAATATAAAATGAAAGCAATACAAGAACACAAACATTTGATGTTTCATCTAATGAACATCTTTTTTTTTGTTTTTGTAAACATATCAAATGTACATATCAATCAAATTTGATGCCTACAACACATTTCTAAAAAATGATCCAGTTTTGAAAGTGAGATTTTTTGCCATTCTTCCTTGTGTCTTCAGCTGCACAACTATACAGAGTTCCTTCAGGTTTTTTGCTTCTTTTAGTTTATAATGCGGCAGACATTCTAAACAGGAGACAGGTCTGGACTGCAGACAGGCTAGTCTAGCACCCGTGCTCTCTGACTATGCAACCATGCTGTTTGTAACGCATGCAGAATGCGGCCTGGTGTTGCCATGTTCACATAAGTATGGAAATCCCTTAAAAATACGCTGTGTAGAAGGTAGCATATGGTACTATAAAATCAGTATGCATCACTTATCATTACCCATACCATTAACACTAATACACCCCATACCATGACAGACGCTGGCTTTTGAACTTTCTGCTTTTAACAATCCGAATGGTCCTTTTCTCTTTCGGTTCTGAGGACACAACATCCATTGTTTTCTTTAAAAATCTGAAAGGTGGACACCTTTTCATTGTGCATCAGTCCATTTTAGATGAGCTGAAGCCCAGAGAAGTTGGTGGTGTTTCTGGATGGTGTTGACATAACGCTTTCCCTGTGCATACTACAGTCTTACCATGCATTTGTGCAGGCAATGATGGATAACATTTATTGACAGTTTGTCAATAAATTTAAGTATTCCTACACCCATGTAGTGATTTCCTTTACAGAACCCAGCCAGATTTAAATGCAGAGCCTTCTAACAGATTGACAGTCATGGGCATTTGGTTTTTGGCATTTACACAAAGAGATTTCTTCGGATGTGCTGCATCTTGATGATATTACGCAACACAGAGGGTGAAACACCCAAAATCTTTGTAATCACTCATTGAGGAATGTTATTTTTGGGCAAAGTGGCAAGCCTTGATCCATCCTTGCTCATAAAGGATTAGGCCTTTCCTGGATGCTCCTTTTATACCCAAGCATGACTCAACTGTATGTTTTTGAACATTAGTTCAAAATTCCTAGTCCTAAATTTGCCCTGTCTCAATGTTTTTAGACCGTGTTGCAGGTAAAATACATGTATATTTACAAAAAAAAAAAGATTGATAAGGTAAAACGTTAAATATCTATGTTTTTTTCTGTTTTCATTTATATACAGGTTGAAGTGGATTTACAAATCACTGCTTTATTTGCATTTCACATACCATCCCAACCTTTACAGAATTGAGGACTGTATTTTGACTCTTGACTACGTAGTATTATTGGAAATGCGAATTACTCACAGTAAATACCGCCACAATGGCTCCCTGTATAAATCCAGTGAGAACATCGCTCCAGTGATGTTTATAGTCTGAAACTCGTGATAGGCCCACATACAGAGATGCAGCAATAAGGAAGAACTGGATAGTTGGCCGTAGCAATCGTGCCCATTCCGCCTTCATTCTTGATTGCATATACAGCTTTAAAAAGTAAAACACAGCAGTATTAATTATAAGCAGCTGATATCTAAATGCAGAGTCAATTCAATATATTTTCTGCATAGGTAAACTACGATGTACTTACTGCAAGGAACAGCATACAGTACATAGAAAAGGATGAATGTCCAGAATAAAATGAAAGCCTATAAAATGATAAAAAGTGATTACTTTTCAGCTTGAGAGAACACAACCATAAAGCTGCAACTACTGCTAACATCAGTAGTCTCAGTGATCTTCCATGATGAGTGAAATGAAAAAAATCCACAAAAGTACATATTTGTACATTTTATTATTAACAACACTATAACTTTGCAGAGACCACATCAAGAATTGTTTTGCAGTACTCACCTGCCTTCATTGACTAATGTTTTGTCTCCTGTGCATGAGAATTTTTCAATGTAGCCTGACTTACAATCCAAAAGGTCCCAGTTGGGTTTGCATACGGTCAGGAAGTGTGGCCTCAGCCGACCGATGGAGTACTTCGCAATGTCAGTCAGGGACTGACTTACTGCTGCTCCAAATATGAAGGAGCCAACTGCTTTGTAAATGCATGCAATGTAGTCATTGATGAAAGAGGATCTGGACCTCAGATATATAGAAAGGCACTCCCCAACAACAATCTGTAGAAAAGATATTTATGGAGATGTATAAGAAACACTGTTTATTGCACTTGTTCATGAAATGAAATTGGACCAATGTTTATATATAAGCAATTTGTCATCCTGTTTTACACTCAATGCAAACTGAATGTTAGTTGGCTAAAATTAGTCAGTGATAAATGTAAAATACCGAGCGCAGATATAAAGTTATTGTAATGAAGCTGGGGTTTTTGAGCTAAACTTCTGTTTGTATAACTGTTCTCATTGCAGTACTTTGGTACCAAGTAGAATTAAATCTCGGTACTTGTGTTTATACTTGAGATTATTAGTAAAAAACTATTACTTCTTACCATTATTTTGAATTTTCTTCTAGCTTATAAATGAAAAAGAACCTTGATTAAAATGTTATAGATTTAGTTTCAAACTGCAGCTTATATGTTCTGCCAAGATGCCAATATGTTAGTTGGCTAATTTAACAAAAAGTAAGCTTCAGACATTTTAAATAAAGATGTGTAAAAATAAAATGTAATTAGTCTCAAGTCTTAAACTTTGATAGCAATGTGAAGTTTTGGTTTATTTTTGTTTGTACAGGTTATTTACCATGATATAGCCGAGCTGATTATGATTGTAAACATACAAAAAAGTAACTACGTCAATAGTTTTTGTCACTAAACAACTTATATACTCTAGCTTGAGTCATTTTTTAAATAATACTTCATATTGAAGTGCATGACTGAATGGGATACTTGGGCCTGTGCACAGAGTGCAAGGAGCCACTTAGGGCTCAAATACTTGGAACAATCCACTCAAGATGGACAAATATTCCTTGAATGTATACAAATGACTAAATAAATGAAATGTATTAATTTTTAAAAAATGTTATTTGCTTTCAGACTCATTTCCAACTATTATTGACTCGTGCCATTCAAATGGGATATTAGCATTTATACTAGCATGTGTGTGGAGCTACTTTTGTATTTGCATTATGTTTGGTTTGTTTTGCAAGGAAAAGAAAAAAAAATTGTGTCTTTTTCTTTTCTTTTTAAATATACAAAGCAATGAAATGACAACCAGGCACCTATTTCACTGCTTTGTTCTGTAATTAGCCCTTTACCCTACTAGTGAATTTCCATAAAAAGTCTACAAAAACAAGCCATAAAACTTTCCAACGCTCTTAATGTAGAAACACATCTTCAGATGTTCACAAGTTCCACATACCAAAGCTGCTTTTGTAATATCAAATCCTTGTGTAAGACTTAAACATTTTAAAAGCAGTGCAAGGTTTACTTCCTCAACCAGAGCTAAGAGTGAATGCTATACTTATTCTAACTAAATGTTTTCTGTAGATTTTCACATTTTCACTCAGTGGAAAGAGACTAGAATTTCTGTAGTGTAAATTTAATTTTAAGGTGTTTGCCCCTAATATTTAAAAATATCTTAGGACTAGTTCACTGAAGTATGTATGGGATGAAGGTTTTTTCACTTTCAGCGTTATAGCCTGAAAGTTGCAACAGGCCTACCTCCATGTTAAAGAACTGGATAATCAGCCATAACAACCAAGCCCATTCTACTTTCATTCATAACTACATGTACAATAATATTAGTGATTATAGCATGTACAAACTCTGGCCTCCATTTGGACCATCTATAACACAGTAAATATGCACATGAGTAGTGAGCAATACATCTCGAATTCCTTTCCTTACATTTAGGTGACTTCTTAGCTAAATTTGCAAGAAGGTGTATGATACTTTCCTATAACGTATACAAAATGAGAACAGACATGAATCTCTGAACTCTGAACAACAATATTTTGAAACTTTTAGGGCTTTGCAAACAAATATCAAAGTTTAGCTATAATGCAAAAGGTACTTACAACAAATAACATGACTGGAATCATTATTCCCATTAACAACTGGTAAGATATAGTATCTTCTTTGAAGGGGTACTTGATGGTGTCATCACTGCAAAAAAATCCTCTTTTGAATGGACTATGCTGGAGATTTAATACTGCAAATGGAAGTCCAGCTGAAAAAAAGAATCACAATAACTTATATTACTTCACCACAAGCGAAATAGTGTTTTAAATGAATAGACAACAATTGACTGAGCAAACTATCACATGGGCTCGCATTCTTTACTGGAATGAATAACCATTGTGACCATGTGCCACCAAGTACAACTTTTTCATGTGACTGCTGAAACAACACAGTGGCTACTTCACCAAGAATGATTGAAACTAGCCATGAACTATAATACTTTGTTTGTTTCCATAAACAATCCTGCTGTGAATCTTAGCATTTTTCCCCAAATGAAATATAGTGTCCCATACAAACACTTCCACATTCCAATAAAATGAAATTAGGCATAGACGGTAGGATCACACCTCTTTTTCTAACCCACTTGTGGGAAGCTGAGGCAGGTGCCATGTTTCAGAACTTTATGTGCACTTCATAACTACCTAACTTACATATCAGTTTCATAGCACTTACAGATGAGTAAGTATTAAGACTAATAATCGATTGATAAACCTAGACTTTAAGATTTTAAAGGGATCTGATGAACTTCCATTGCTATTTCCATTCACTGATCATATGATATCTGATATTAGAATAAGGGTTATTGTCTCCACCTGATATCAGAATAAAAAGTGATAGAAACAGCTATTGAAGAAGCATATAAAGGCTAGTGAAAGACAAAGTGGCACTGACATTATACCAAATATCGGAAATGAAGGAAAAACTGCATTTTCCCTACTTTCAGGACACAAGCAGATTAGCACACATCTGTATATAGTGGCCCCAAAATGATTTTGGACATTTGTGCCATTCCTAAAAATGTATTAAGTTCATTTAATGTAAGAAAACCAAAGTTAAACCAAGTGGCATTTATGTTAAGCAGAACACTCCAAGACTGTAATTTCCTTTCTGGTAAAGTATTCTTTCAAAAGGTGGCTGCAGTTATCATTTGACCAGTTTCTTTGTAGAGTGATGACAAATGACACTGCTGTAAGAAAAACAGCCCCAGACTTTGACGTTTCCTCCTCGGTCAGGGGCAGTTTACTGAACGAGCCATAAATCACAGGGCCCAAAGGGGCTCAAATACTTGGGACAGTCCGCTGCAGACGTAAATATTAGAAGAATGAATCTTGAATATACAAGTTATTAAATAAATGAAATAAGTGAAGGAAGTTATCTGTTCTAAAGCCAATCTTTTAATACTATTAATGACTCATGGGATTTTGTTGTTACTAAACCAGTGAGATCATTTATACCGGGGGTGCACAACTCCAGTTCTGGAGGGCCGGTGTCCTGCACAGTTTGAGAGTTCCCATACTCAAACATGCCCACTAAACTGGGCAATAAACAGATGATGGAAATCACTAAACTGTGCTGAACACTGGCTCTCAAGATCTAGAGTTCCCCACCCCCGTTTCAGGTGGTAAGGGATAGTGTTAGTGTTTACTCTTCCATCACTTAGTTTGGCTTGAAAGAAACTATGATCCAAAATCAACATGAAATATAATTTTATCTCATTTTCATGAGTTTGTTTTGGTTTTGTTTATGCATAACTTTTGGAGTGTGGGGGCCTCCCAAGAACATGGTCCATCTCTGGTCTCCATTACAGTAGCCTTAGTGAAGTCTGGTTGGAGTTCTTCTCTAGTCTTTTCCAATACAAAGAGTCCACCATCAGTTTGATGTTGTGCTGAAAGTGTTTTTCACTGAAACAAACATCATTTTGTTTAACACTTCATGAAGTAGCCTAAAGAAATTTATTAGATTTGAGATGTTTAAGGAGTCCAAATACTTTTTTGGCCAGAGTATAGCTAATGGCGAGTTGCACATGCTTTTAGACTGTTTCCATTTTGCAAAGGAGTAGGCCGCTTATTGTGTATGAGTAAAGTAATCATACGATAAGACAAGCCACACCTTTAAATATAAGCATGTTCAAGATTCATTTTACTATGTACACACATGATAAACTAAATGTGCTCCTGTTCGTGTACCTTCCTCATTTTTGCATTCCTTTGCCTTTTGTCACACCTTGTAGTTCAAATGCTGTTGCAGTCACAGGTTTCTGATTAGAGAATCAGCTTAACATCCCACTGCATGTGCAAATGTACAGAAAATGCAATGTGTCTCGTGGCTTCTATCAGCATGATAGGCACAACAGCACTTAAAGGAGAATTCCACCAATTTTTCAAAATTTCTATATAATTTAGCGGTTAAGACATAACCAACATCATTCAGGTTGGTTTGATGTGAAGTGCTCCATTTGCAGAGGAAATTATAGTCTCAGTTTTCTTTATAGTGGTGGTGATAGGAACCAGGAGTCCTGATGTGTACAATGCAAATGTAACCAATTTATTTACCATCCCATCAAACCACCCATGAACCTTACAGAGCCCCTAAGGGGCTGTGGTTGTTAAAAAATAAATAAAGAAAGAAAAGGTAGATATTGCATTCCCTTGCAATTATTTTGCATTCGGTTACAATAGTTTAGTGTTCCCTTGCAAATGTTTTGCATTCCTTTGCAAATGCAGTAGATTTACTATTGCACTATTGCAAGGGGATGGAAAACTTTTTTGAAGGACTGCAAACATTTTGTAAGAAAACAAAACGCAATGTCGTTGAAAGTATCTTTTTTTTACCTTGAAAAGTCTCCATAGAACCTACACGTATCTTCTGAATTTTTTTTTAATGTAATGTTGATGATGGTAAAATAACGGCCAATCCTGAAAAAGTACGTTTTTTGGAGGGACTATTTTGCCCCAGAACACTCTCCATGTATTCCTCCACCATACGTTTTAGACCAAAACTTTATTGCAAACCTACTGTAAAGCAATGTCTCAGACATCAGGCAGTGTATTTATAACCATTTCATGTAACAACATTCTGTGAGGGAGCCTTTACAGGAGTTAAACTCCTCAGACGTCTGGTTCCTATCACCACCACTGTGAACCATTCTGACTCATTAAGTTTCTCTAGAAAGAAGCATTTCACACCAAACCACTCTAAACGATTTTGCTGACAGTGTTCACCATTTAAATATGCATTTATTTGTATTATTATGCAATAACTTGCAAAATAGGTGGAGTTCCCCTTAATTGTTTAGTCGGTATTTTTAGAGTCGAGCTCCTCAGTTTGAAATCGAAAGGAAGTGAAAGCTTCTGCTGGATGAACTAACCCTAGCAGAGCAGCAGTTGTCGCTACAAGATAAATACGCTGGACGTTACGCTTTCTCAGTAACGGGCTTACAACGTTGGAAACTAACAGTCCTCTTCACTGGGCAGTTTACCGCCTCAGTGGTAAAGCAGGACTGTAGCCTAAGGGCTGTATAGAGTCTCAGCGGGCGTTCAGAAGACCCGGTCCCTGAACATACTCACCGAAGACAACGCAGGTGACGTCCAGAATAATGTAGAAGACCCCCTCTGCTTCGAACATGGTCACAGTCCTAATCGCGCCCCTCGTCCTGTGGCTGAAGACTCTTCGTAGCAGACGCAGACTCACATGTAAAGGCCGCGGGACGCAGCAGCGGAGCTCCTCGACATATCTCTCAAACTATGTGCTCAGCTAAAAATAAGGAAACATGTCCGCTGCAGATCGACTGTGTGATGCGCTTCATGTAGTAACGCCTTGGGTATTGTGATTGAGTTGGAGAAGGAGAGAAATGGTTCGATGTGACCGCTATCCGGTAACGCAACATCGCATGACAGTGAGGTCAATCCCTCACTGAGTCAATCCCTTACGCTCCTCCTCTTCTCCTTCTCTCCTCCTCTCCGCACTGTAAAGCAGAAAAGTCTTTTCCTTTACCGGAACGTGCTGCTCACACCCATTACGTCAGTGACACAGACTAAACTAGAGTAAAGCACTGTAGTCTAGAGGTGCTGTATTCTTTAACTAGTGGCCTAAACAATGTTATATATATATATATATATATATATATATATATATATATATATATATATATAGATAGATAGATAGATAGATAGATAGGTTTAGGGTTAGGGATAGATTTAATAAACTCTTTCACACTGGGATTGAAGTTCAGTTGCATTTAATGGAAATTTTGTTGAATGTTACTTAAAAAACAGACCTGGCATTTCGCTGTTGTCGGAAGAAAACCTCGTATCTCCAAAATGACAACTTCACAGAGAAGGAAAAACTTACTTTACTCTCAATGTAAGTCAAAGGAATCAGAGTTTTTTCCAAGTAATTTTGGGCCGTTTGTTATGGTCTATTTATCATGAAATTTATGTACAATGTAAAGGGTAACAGGTATTTTCAAATTATGCCAAAAACTGAAAAATGTCAAAAATGGAGATACAAGGTTTTCTTCCTACAACAGCGATTTACAAAGCATCTATAGTGGATAATCCAAATAAAGCGTTTCCAATATATTTTTAAAAATACGTTTCACATATATTTTCCTAATACATTTTTCAAATATATTTTTGCAATGCAAAAATACAAAATGTATTTATTAAATATATTTTTAAATGTACTTGTTTGTGTTTGTTATTATATATTTTTCGCTTGTATATAGTTTTAACAAAGGTTAAAGATATATGCGTGAACTGAATGAATTGTACTGACTTTGCATTAACCGTGTATGTAAGATAGCACTCACACAACTTTGACTTTAAACCAAATCAAGTTTGGTTTAAAGTTTGGTTTAAATCAAGTTACCTTGTAAAACAGAAGAATTCTACAGGTCTCTTATTGAGATAACAATGGTGTTCCTGCTTAGACAAGATGAAGTTATCACTAAGACTACTCACTAAATGTAGACTGACGTTCTGATTTAGCTACAAGTGTTAAAAGTCATAGTGTCTTGTGCAGAGCTAAACACAGTGGCCAGTAGATCTGTAGGCAAACCACAGCTGGACACAGCTGAGGTCAGGGGAGAATCAGTTGTGTCACCGCTGATTGCATAGTCTTACAATGTAATATGTTCCACATAGGCTACACTCTCAACCCTGGTCCCAGAGGCCCACTGCTCTGCACATTTTAGTGTTTTTCTCTGCCCCCAACTCACCTGATCCTACTAATCAGCTCATTAACAAGCCTTTACTGAGTTAGAATTGGCATACTGAAGCAAGGAAAACACCAAAATGTGAAGAACAGAGGGCCTACAGGATTCCAGGTTTGAGAAACACTGGTCTAGACCTCAAGTCTAGTCATAGCCAATTACAGTCATCTTCAGATGTACTGCTTATGACACATTTTAGAGCAAGAGTGTCCAAACTTATGCAAGAAGGGCGAGTCTGGATGCAGGTTTACATTTCAATGAAGCAGCAGCACACCTATTTCCATTTGTTTAATCAGTTGGTCTCAGTCTTCATGCAGTGGAGCTCCTGTTTTGTAAGAATGAGAACCTGCAGGCACACAGGCCCTTTGCGAATAAGATTCCTGTCTTAGAGGTACTGCTTACAGTGCTTAAAAGTAATCTTGAGACACTCTTTAAATAAAGTTTAAAGGATCTTCTTTATTTGCTACTTTCCAAAGTTATCATTTATTCTTTTGTATCCATCTAAAAAGTAAAAAAAAAAACAGTAATAACAACCAAGTACAGGAAATGCACCTCAAAAGTACAACAATTGTCTTAAGGATTGTGTATCTTCAGAAAGTTTTAAATAAAAAATGCGAATATAAAAAATCAAGACAGGGTGTACAGAGTTCAGTGTATCTGTAATCTCTCTCACAGATATTTTGTTACCAAGGGACAATATTATTAAGACAGATTAATTCAACTCAATGTTCAAGTTTTATAAAACAGTCTTTCAGAATATTCATGAAATTTTGAGTCAGGGGAGTTTGATGGTGGTTTTCCAGGACCAGGATTGGAGATCTCTGGTTCTCTCTACACTCTTAACAAAGATGGTTGTTCAAGGGTTCTTTAGTAAAGACAATGGTTCTATATGGAACTACATAGAACCTAATGAACACTTAAATAACATTCTTTACATCATGAAAGTGTTCTTTAGGCTGATCGAAAATGTCCATGAATATGCTATAAGGGGTTCTACATAGAACCTTTTTGAAAAAGGTTCTATATAGCACTTAAAAGTGTTCTTCTACTGTTAGAAGCTTGACATTTTAACAATAGAAGAACCCTTTTTGGGTGCTATATAGAACCATTTTCAAAAAGGTTCCATATAGAACCATCTACGGCACATCCTCCATCAATCTAAAGAACCTTTAATGATGCAAAGAACCCCTTAATAATGCAAAGCGTTCTTTGACTGTTCATGGTTCTATATAGAAGTAGTTTGCTGTTGTCATGTGGCTGAAATGATGTACTACCAAAGCACAATTTCCATATTACATCAACAATTTAAATAATTCTAAAAAACAAAAACAAATAATGATATTAAGGTATCTCAAGACTACATCTGAGCACTGCATGTCACAACAAAACAGAATATTGTGATCATGTGCCCTTAATGTCAGCATTATCACTGAGTTTGTGTTTATGTAGATGACTGTCTATTTCCTGGTGAAATAAAAGCTCCCCCATCTGGCTGTGGGAAGCCTCAGTCATAGCTTTAGACTGCATGCACATTTTAAATGACTCTGTCGGTAAGTCATCTGCACAAACTTTCTCGTGCCACATATGGAAGAGTCCTCGTGAAGGGGCCCGCACTACCATGAGATTGCTGTGAAGATATTTTCTGTAGAGGTGCAAGTCTTCCTTTCCCCAGCTTTTTATACTGGACTCAAAGCCACCTTTCGAAAAGGGACAAAATGTGTAAGTCAGTAAGATAATGTTTACAAATGCTGTACACAGTGCTTAAATGTGTTATTATTGTAATATTTGATTGTTAAAAGTCCTACAGGTAATAACATGTAGTATTAAAAAGTAGTGCATTTTAATCTGCCATTATTTTGCAAGTCAACACATCATAAATCTTAACACAACTTGATGTGTCATTTTTTGAAAAACTGGACATAACAGTAACAATTTAGAACCAATACTATAAGCTGAAGTGACATGGTAGTTGGCCAATCATTTAGTAGTTGGTTGACTCTCACTTAATGTTTTTAATAACAAATTTCAAATTTTTAACTGTAGGACTTTTATAAGTTGGAAACAAATGTAACTGTTTATTACCTATGTTGACAAAATCTGACCTATATTGACATGTCATCCCAAACGAAAAGTCATGCCAGAATCCCATACTTTTACTGATTACCTGTTGAGAGAAAAGAGAGCAAAACAGTGCTGATGCACATAATAACAGCTTCTGTTTAACTTTTTTTTATTATTATTTATTAACTGAATCTGTAAGGAATAAAATTCTCACCAGCTGTTTATCAACTGGAGGTATGTTATGTTCACCATATATTACTTCTGGGTTGTACTGATTAAACGGTATGGGATAGAAGACTCTTTTACCTATAAGATGCAATAACAAACTGTCCACCAACATCATCGTATCAGTTATGATTTAATGAAGCGAAAAATCACATTCCTTTTAGACGAATAGATGTTATAATGGAGTGGAATCACCATGCTACATTATAACATTACACATTAAATATTACATCAAAAGCTTACATTTTATACACATTATGTGATCTTTCCAGGTTCTTACCAGGTTGGGCATTCATGCGGCAGGAGTAGAGGAACTCTGCAGTAAAATGTACATCCACATCACAGAAAAAAAGCAAGACATTGCTCTTCTTCCAGGCCCGAGCTCCCATGTCTAAACCTCTCCCTCTGGAAAACTTCTCATTTAGATGTATTAGAGTGAAGTTCCTGGATCTCATTTTCCTGTTTAAAAAGCAAAATAAAATATCTCAGTCCAAAGGTTTTCAGTCCATTCCTCATAAAGTCACAGTCAGCGCATGTTAAGAAGAGCCATTTTGTCCTTTCAACAAAAATCAAACGACATGGGGGCCACAACATTTTATGCCCATTTTACCATCTTGGCTGTAAATATGTCTTAGTATGCGCAAATGTACTAGTGTAGACTAAAAAACACAGACTTACTTTGTTCTGCTTTAAGCTTTAGTTCAGTTACAGCTGCTTTTCTTGCATCTCCGACAAGAAACTTTCCCGCAAAAGTAAAATAGTTTCTTGAAAATTGTCTCTCAACGTTTGACTTTATTCGAGGCTAAAGTCAACTTGTCATTTGCCAGCTTCAATTTCCCATTCCACCTTAAATAGTGCTTCAGGTTCCAGAATGTAACTGCTGCACCATTGTTCTTGTTGCACATTAAATGTATCAGGAAATCAGGTAGAGCGCTTAATTATCTGTTCGTCTCCAAATTTTTGATGTTCGTCTTAAATCTTTTTTTTTGCCATTTCGTTAGCTACTAGTTAGGCGAGATTGTTGCTATGGTGACCAGCAGTCTGCGCTTGGGTTATAGGTTGGTGAATTAGCAGTTATAGGCTACTTTAAATCCGGAATTTAAGACCATTTATTGCATTTTACTGCAAAGGACGATTATTTTATTTTTACCTAAAAATCTACTTCTGCTGTGGAGCTGTTTTATTCCCTATATGCAGTATAAAGGTCTAGTAATCTTGTGTTACCTTGCAGTGGCATCTATAATTCCTCTCACTTCATCCATTTTATGTGTTCCAAAAAACACCACAGTCAGATGAACTCTTTCATTTTGCCGAATGCAAACTTCCCTGTGACCAAAGGAGAGGACAGTAAATGTTAGAAGTGTTAATAAAGCACATGAAGCACATAACAGCTTTCAGGGGCATAGCCAAGCAGGGGTGGTGGGGGGGGGCATTTTGATGAAATAGCCTATTGATAACTTGACTAAATTAATTATTAATAAAATAACGAAACTAATATTGCCAAAGTAGCCTAAGCAGTTATTTGTTAATGCAGTCAGCAAAGGTCATAGAAAACAACAAAAAAGAAAACTGAGGCACTCAGTGGGCAGAAGAAAATTAACTAATTAGTTAATTAATTAATTTTTGTGCTAGTCCAGTTTTATTCACAAGTGGTTAACTCGATTAACTTAATGTATATATAGACTATAATAAATAATTGTTGTTTACCATGATTAGCCAATGATATATAAAGAACACCTTTCTGTGTGAGTACACTTTAAATACACTTATTTTAAGACACAACATGCTCTGAGAAAAAATTTTATTGCAGAAGTGAATATAAATAAGTAATAAGTAATTATGTAATTATGTAATTACTAATAATAAATAAGTAATTATGATTCATTGAGATAATCTTGTCTAGAACAGTGATGTGAATGTAAATTATGGTGGTGGATTAATGATAATGACGGTGGAAGTGCTGGACAAAGTTAGGGTAATAATCAGGTCCATCTAATGTAAAAATGTAATACTAGCACCATTTCAAAGGCTGACCTACATAAGATACCCTCTGCTTGCAATTAAAGGGTCCAATTTTGAGGGAAAAACTCAACCCTACTAGAAGGCTGGCTACTCTGGCTATACCCCTGCCTTTGTATGGCACTGTACTCTAGCTTACCAAAAGAAAATATTACATGAAAATTTGGAGTCCCACCTGAAATTATTCATGAATTGTCTGAACGAGTCCACCTTCTCTGCCAATGGCACGATTATGTTTATTAGCATGTTGGATGTGTCAATTACTTCTTCCATCACCTTCATCAGAGGCGCAAATGGACGAAAGAAAAGTAGCCTCCTGAAGTCCAGGGAAGTATTATCTCTGAATGTGAGATCATACAGGGTCCCCTTATCTCGTTCTGTGCGGAAAATTCCTAGTACAATTCAAAACCAAAGAAAAGAACATTAATGTAGATCAATCTGAGTCTGGGAAAACATTGAGGCAAAACAGCCCTGTCCATAATGCAAAAAATAAAGATTCAAAAGGTAACCTCACCCTCAAAAAAGTCCCGTGGGGAGTATATTCTATGGTAGCGAGAGTTGTCCCTTTTCTGAGGATCGTTTAGGATGTGTAGGGCGGCTTCTAACGCTCCACCCAGGTCCTTCTGAAGAGCTCTTTGCACAGGGTGCCGTGCAAGCCCAGTCTCCAGCTGATAGACCCTGTGAAGAGTAAAGGTCTCAAATGGCACCAGAGCATGCTCATTTGGTAAATTTGTGCCTAGATGAATTTCTGCATGGTGCAGCTGCCTGTTGAAGAACACCTCAAGCTCTGAGTTACTCTTCTGCCCCAGTTCTTCCAACTTCAGTGGAAGCATTACAGCAGCCTGTTCCAGAGACTTCTGCAGCTGTCTTCTCCTCACTTGGAGAGCCTTCTTCAACTGGAAGATTTGCTTTGTGAGGCTGGTGGCATAGTGGTGATATTGCTCCTCGTGTTCTTGCAGCAAAGTCTGGTACTTCATATCATCCACTGGCCCTTTAAACATTTGGTGCTTTTGGTTTCCATGAGGTCTGCAGGTCAGGAAATACAGGAGGGACACGAAGCAGAATGTCACCATGAGCATAAGTCCCCTACGGACCACCATGGCCAGAAACCACCTCTTCAGCATGACTGCACGGAGTTTTACCAAGCTAGTTCAGGATCTGCTCCAACCAGGATCTGTGCAGTAAGTGAAATGTAGTTTATTTCCATTTTAAATCACTGAAGTTAGAGTAGTTTTGATTACTGGCTCATGTTTTCTTAGTTCTCATTTAACACATTTTGGTTCATTTCTGTGCTTAAAAGCTTATGTTCCTGAGCATCTTCAAGTCACCTTATGTATTGTCATCTGTCCATATCATCAAGGGTTCAACTAAAATGGAAAAAAATACATCACTGATGTTTAGTAGCATGTATTTGGAACTTTGACTATACTGTTGTTCAGCATTCAGTGTTTAACATAACCTGCTCATTCACATAGGTGACCCTGTATCTTGCCAATGAAGAAGCAATTATATAAAGAGTAATGCATTGATTTTTTTACATGTTTTTTTACAAGGACACTCCAAAAAAGAAAACGTGAAAAAGTAACCATCTACAAAGCTAATGTTAATGCTGTCAAGTCAGAAATCTTACTGAACATGTAAAACCATGGTAACTGTAGCAGTGGGCAATATGACTATTTTATTGTTATCGTGATAAATTATGTTACGTTTTTCTGAGCATATCATGGATACTGACGTTACTTAAAGAACTTGTTTCATTACAAAGAGAGTGTAATTAGTACTGTTTAATTGGAATTATTGATATTCTTGCAGTTTGTGAAACATTATAGTTTTGTAGGTTTATTAGAGGATTTTTGGTTTATATTTTCTCTGTTCCAACTTTTTAAATCTCAGACAAACTAAATATTGTGATGCATATCGTGATTCACAAAAATGTCTTGAAGTACCATGATATACTATTCTTGCCATATTGTCCAGCCCAGATTAGTCTTCAAATCATCATTACAATGGAGAGAATGGATTACTCAAATGACAGAAATCACTAATCAGATGAGGAGGACAATGAGCTAAAAGCTTTAGTTATCAAGGTAGCTACATGGCTATTACGGAGCCCCTGAAGGGATGTGCAGTGTATATTTTAGGTAAAGAATTTTTGAGCACCAGATACTAAGTGGTGAGCACTCAATACTATAAGACGAGCACAAGTTATTATGTGGAGAGCACCCGGTATTATCAGGTGAGCACCTGATACTATGTGGTGGGGACCCAATACTATCAGTTGAGCACCAGATACAGATGTGGTACATTTTTTAAAGTATAGTATCTGGTGCTCACCACATTGTATCTGGTGCACATCCTATAGTATCTGGTGTGCACCTTTTAGTGTCAGGTGCTCACCACATAATATGTGGTGCTCACCAGATTTTTACATTAAAAAATACACCACATGTCCCTTCAGGGCCTCCATAGACTATCTAAAGAGTTTACCTTGGTTTCGCATTTCTAGTTTTTAATAAATAATAAATAATAATAAGTTACATTTATACAGCGCCTTTCACAAACCCAAGGTCGCTTCACATAGTATGGGAAAAAAAGACTAAGCAGTGAAGGAGGAAGAAAAATGCTCATGAAAGAGAAAAGTCTTTAAGTCAGATTTGAAGGTAGAGAAAGAAGAGCAGTCCCGGAGGGATTGAGGAACAGAGTTCCAGAGTTTGGGGGCTATGGCACTGAAGGACCTCCCTCCCAAAGTGGAAAGTCTGGTGCATGGGACAGCAAGTAAGTTATTACAAGAAGACCTGAGAGAGTGAGAGGGAGTGTAAGAGGTCAGCAGTTCTCTGAGGTAGGGGGGGAGCAAGGTTATGCAGGGCTTTGAAAGTGAGTAGTAAAATTTTAAACTTTATACGGGACAGGACCTGTAGCCAGTGTAGCTGAGAGAGAATGGGAGTGATGTGAGCTGAATGCTTAGTATGGATGAGATCTCTAGCTGCAGTGTTCTGAATGTACTGTAGCTTTTGTATAGACTTTACAGGGAGACCAACAAAGATGGAGTTACAGTAGTCAACATGGGACATAATGAAGGCATGAACCAAGGTTTGTGCATCATTATCAGCCAGAAACAGGCGAAGACAAGCAATGTTACGTAAGTGAAAGAATGCAGTCTTTGTGAGGAACTTGATATGCAGATCAATATAAAATGATGGGTTGAGTAAAACACCAAGATTTCTAACAACAGGTGCAGGCTTAACAAGCAGGCCATCAATACTAACAGAAAAATTGGATGATTTTGATAGTGAAGATTTAGGGCCAACCAGGAAGACTTCAGTTTTATCAGTGTTTAGCATGAGAAAGTTATCGTGCATCCAGAGCTTTAAATCAGAAATTCAATTGATTAGTGTATTGGGAGGGGAATCTGAAAGTGTGTGTGTACTGAGATGTAACTGAATATCATCAGCATAACAGTGAAAGTTAAGGCCATGGCTATGAATGATCTGGCCAAGGGGTGAGATGTAGATTAAGTAGGGGTCCAAGAACTGAGCCCTGAGGGACACCACATGTAACAGGAGAGGTGGAGGACTTGTGTGGACCTAGTGTGATAAACTGCTGTCTGTCTGTAAGATACGATCTGAACCACTGTAAGGCTAGTTTTTAGGCTGGAATGCCCCTTTAACATGAATGACAAATGTCCCATACATTTTATCATTTTGCCACCTTGAAACAAAACATATTTACAGCAACATTGTGTTCCCTGTGTGCATTATTTTTGCCTTCCCTTGCAAAATCTGTTGTATTTGTAATGGACTGCAAAATTATTATGTATTATGTATAAATTATGTATAATTAATTGGATGCAAGATGTAAGACAAAAAACAGTCATTTAAAGTGGTTCAACGTGAAATGATCTGTTCTAGAAAAACTTGGAAACCAGAAATGATCACAGTGGTGGTGATAAAAATCTTTAACGTCTCTATCATATAGAGTTTTTAACATTACATTAAATAGTTATGAATATACCACCTGATAACTGAGAATTTTTTTATGATAGTTTTAAGATTTTGGGCTAAAATGTACATTTTTGTATGTTAGTATGGTGGCATGGTACAAGGAGGGTGCTGTACGGCTAAACAATCCCCAAAGAAGTCCCACAAAACAGTCCCCATTTTTTCAGATTTACCACTGTTTTGTCATTATCAACATTACATACTGCTGCTGTCAGAGTGTAATCTTGTATCTCCAAAACAGTAACTTTACAGTTATGGTAAAAAGCGAACATATTACCTTTGAATGGAAGTTAATGGAACTAATTTTGGAGCTTTTCTATTGGCCTACTTATCACGAAATTTTAGAATGTTTTAAAGGGCAGCTGGCATTTTCAATTCAGTAAAAAAATGTACAAAATTATAAAAATGGGGATACAAGGCTTTGTTCCAACAGCAGTGATATGAAAAGACACAGATTTTGGATAGTAAATAAAATAGCTTTGTGTTGTAGACCTCAACACTACTGTAAAGAAACCAGTTTGTTTGTCTACAATGCACCATTTAACATTAGACCACTCTGAATGACACTGATACCATGCATTTCGCACAGTTTAACAGAATTACATCTGCATTAATGTCAAACCATTCAAAATCTAAGCATAGTTAGAAACATACACTCACCTTGTTCTCTCTTTCACAAACTGCACTGCTAGACAGCACGTACCCCATCTTTACTACCAATATCCCATGCGTAGTGCTGGCAGTAAGGCTAACTCAACAGCCTTCCTGTATGACTGTTTCCACAAGCATGTATTTGGGTTAATTTGCTGTGTGGTACCCATGAGGCCTCAGAGCTCTGCTCAGTGCATGCTCTGTTCTGCCTTCTACAAACAAACTCCTCCCTCTTTAAAACTATGAAAGCAGAGTTGTTTCGCACATATGTGGTGCAGAGGATTTTAACATGTCCTAACTGTCAAAGAAGTTATTTATGTTATGTATAAGTAACCCTCAAAGTGTGATTACTGGGTACTCTTTTCCTACATTATTACCTATTATTTGCAAATATGACTGGACAGTGTTTCATGAATGACTGGAGACAGCCTAACATTTAAGGAGCGATGTCCAAAAAATCTATTTTTGCAATAAACAGTGTTCACACTCAAGTCTATGCTCTGTGTATGTCCAACAAGACTGCCCAAAAGCAGAATATTTTGCTACATTATTTCACAGCAATTATTCATTATTTTTATTTTAAAATTGGACCAAGCCCAAAATACTCGTGCTCAGTTGTGGTTTTGGCCTTGATGGAGACCAGATTCAAAGCCTATAGAGAATATCACAATAAACATAAATTTGCTTGGCAATGTTTTCAAACTGTTTGAAGCCATTAATGCTGACAAAGAATACTGACTCTTATTTTTGTAAAAGGCAAGTTTACTCACAAGACTTCTATCCCATCTCAAGTTACTTTATCTTTTTGTTTAATTCTTGGGATCAGGGCTGTCCAATCTTATCCACAAAAGGCCAGTGTGGGTGCAGGTTTTCATTCCAAACATGAAGAGCACACCTAATTCCACTTGTTTAATCAGTCTCAGTCTTTAAACAACCGATCATGTATGCTCTGCTTTGTGCCGAAAACCAGCAGCCACACCAGCCCTTTGCAGATAAGATTGGACACCCCTGAGATGTGTAATACACACATACACACACACGCGCACACACACACACACACACACACACACATATATATATATATATATATATATATATATATATATATATATATATATATATATATATATACATACATATATATACATACATACATACATACACACACACACAGACACACACACACACACATATACATATATATATGTATATATATATATATATGGAATGAACATTGATATATATTGAATGAAAGTCGCTGTTGAAGGGTTGAGGATGGCCAACAAAAACTGTACATCAATAAATGGGCATTAACAAACTCCAGGTGGAGCTTAAAGGAACGGAATTCTGATAAAGTGATCCAGTAAGAAGAGTCAGATGAGGCCATAATGCTCTTTTATTGAGAGCAAGGGAAAATAATGCCACTTGAAAAGCAACTGAAAATTGAGGTAGGTCACTCCTAGCCCTCCTCTTTCGTCTGTGGATCACCAAACACAAACACACTCTCCCTAACTCTGAGCTGGACACAAAATAACAGAGTAAACACCTACACACACTGTAACTGAAGAACAACAACATAGCAACATTAAATAACAATGTAAACAGTCTGTTTAGCAGGTGGGGGAGGGCCAAGGCTACAAGACACACAACCCCAAAAGTCTCTCTCTGTCTAAACAAAAGATTTTATGAATTATATTATTCATTTCTTCATCTCAATGTTCATTCCATATATATCAATGTTCATTCAATGTATATGAATCTTCATTCAATATATATCAATGTTCATTCCATATATATCAATGTTCATTCAATGTATATGAATCTTCATTCAATATATATCAATGTTCATTCTATATATATCAATGTTCATTCCATATATATCAACATTCATTCCATATATATCAACATTCATTCAATATATCTCAGTAGAACAAAGATTGATATATATGGAACGAACATTGATATATATGGAATGAACATTGACATATATATATATATATATGTATATATATATAGGGAATGAACATTCATATATATGGAATGAACTTTGATATATATGGAATGAACATTGATATATATTGAATGAAAGTCGCTGTTGAAGGGTTGAGGACGGCCAAGAAAAACTGTACATCAATAAATGGGCATTAACAAACTCCAGGTGGAGCTTAAAGGCAGGGAATTCTGATAAAGTGACCAGTATCTATACACAGTGATCCTGTGGACAGAGTGACCTGAGAGTGGCTGATATATTATGTGAAGACACAGATGGGTGGAGCTTCAATATATGCATAATTTGACATGGTGCAGAAGAAGAGTCAGGTGAGGCCATAATTTCTGTTTGAAAAATGCTCTTTTATTGAGAGCAAGGGAAAACAATGCCACTTGAAAAGCAACTGAAAATTGAGGTAGGTCCCTCTAAGCCCTACTCTTTCTTCTGAGGGTCACCAAACACAAACACACTCTAAGTAACCCTGAGCTGGGCACAAAATAACACAATAAACACACACACACACTGTAACTGAAGAAGAACAACATAGCAACATTAATTAACAACGTAAACAGTCTGTTTAGCAGGTGGGGGAGGGCCAAGGCTACAAGACACACAACCCCAAAAGTCCCTCTCTGTCTAAACAAAACATTTTATGAATTATATTAATTTTTTCATCTCAATGTTTGATCCATGTACATCAAGGTTCATTCAATATATATACATTTTCATTCAATACATACCAATGTTCATTCCGTATATATCAATGTTCAATCCATATATATCAATGTTCATTCCATATATCTCAGTAGAACAAATATTGATATATATGGAACAAAGATTGATATATATTGAATAAACATTGATATATATGGAATGAACATTGATATATATGGAATGAACATTGATATATATGGAATGAACTTTGATATACATTAAAGTGAACATTGACATATATTGAATGCAAATTTATATATATTGAATGAACCTTGATGTACATGGATTGAACATTGAGATGAAAAAAATGAATAATACAATTCATAAAATGTTTTGTTTAGCCAGAGAGGGACTTTTGGGGTTGTGTGTCTTGTAGCCTTGGCCCTCCCCCACCTGCTAAACAGACTGTTTACGTTGTTATTTAATGTTGCTATGTTGTTGTTCTTCAGTTACAGTGTGTGTGTGTGTGTTTATTGTGTTATTTTGTGCCCAGCTCAGGGTTACTTAGAGTGTGTTTGTGTTTGGTGACCCTCAGAAGAAAGAGTAGGGCTTAGAGGGACCTACCTCAATTTTCAGTTGCTTTTCAAGTGGCATTATTTTCCCTTGCTCTCAATAAAAGAGCATTTTTCAAACAGAAGTTATGGCCTCTTCTGACTCTTCTTCTGCACCATGTCAAATTATGTATATACTGAAACTCCACTCATCTGTTTCTTCACATCATATATCAGCCACTCTCAGGTCACTCTGTCCACGGGAATCACTGTGTATAGATACTGGTCACTTTATCAGAATTCTGTTCCTTTAAGCTCCACCTGGAGTTTGTTAATGCCCATTTATTAATGTACAGTTTTTCTTAGCCATCCTCAACCCTTCAACAGCGACTTTCATTCAATATATATCAATGTTAATTCCATATATATGAGTTATATATATATATATATATATATATATATATATATATATATATATATATATATATATATATATATATATACACACACACACTATATATATATATATATATATATAAACTACACACACACATATATATAAATACACACACACACACACAAACACACACCTAATTTTTTTGGAATTAGTTTTCTTTAATAGAAAAAAAAAGTCTGTCCATGCTCAAAACGAGGGCAGCAGTATTTCCAGTTTAAAGGCACATGTTAAATTTCCAAAAATAACAAAAAAAGAAAAAAAAAACCACCAGGAAATAATTTAACAAATGCAAGCAAAAGGGTCAATACCCAGAATGGGAAACAGGATGTAGAAACAGGCCATCACGGCGCTGCTTGTGTGCGTACATATAAAACTTGTACAATCAGGGAATGTGAACACAGCATGAGATCCGGCAACATGTGTCAAGCATTCTGTGTAAACTGGCATGAGAAAAAGTGGTTTAGTGCTTTAGTAACACCTGCCAATAGTGAACTGAACTACAAACTCTAAATACATTTTCTGTACATACCATTTATAAATGAGAGCCAAACTTTAACGTTGGTCTTAACTGACAAATGGAAAATCGCAGAGAAGTGGAAAATTTAGAATAACTGCGCAATATCTATTGAATGACCTATTAAAACTCAAGTTCAATCTATCACATTACACAGAATCAAACCATATCATATACATAAATGTGATAGTCATCTTCAAACTTAATAAAGTACACCGATGGTTTGGCCTTAACCTGATGAATAACTGTGCCGATCCTCTGCGTGCCATCCTCTTTCACGTACTCCACTTGCTTTCCAACAAGGCTCTCAACAACTTCACCTGGCTCCATAGCTTTAACAGGGTCATCTGAAACATGGAGAGTAATTTTAAGATTCTGCTTTCCACTGATTTTTCTAAATTTAAGCATAATTCAATTGTTAAGATGTAAACAAAGCCACTCAGAGTTGTCTGATGTGAAGTTCTACAGAAACCATGGCAGAACTGTTCACAGTGGTGGTGATACTAACCGGACAACCAGAGTGTAATGCCTCTAAAAGCTACAGAAAGTTATATAGTTTCATCACAGTTTCTGAGATAAAGTTTTGGCCTAAGTTTTGGTTTTATACAGCACAATCCTCAAAGATTTTTTTTATCACTACTTTACCATTATCAGCATTACATAAGAAAACTCAGAAGATACATACAGTTTCACTGGTGGTTTTGGACAGCGAGCAAGGATGGCTATATTTGCACTGTAGACATCACAACCCCTGGTTCCTATCACCACTACTGTAAAGACATCCGAGTCTTTAAGTTTCTCTACAGTGAACCATTTTACATCAAACTACTCTGAATAACTGTTTCTCCATCAATTACACAAAAACAATTAATGCATAACAAATTTTAGCAAGAAGAGACTCTATAGACACCACTGTAATTTGATTACTAATTCATTTGAATAGCATAATGGCCATTCACTCACCCGAGTCTGGAAGTATACGAAGGTCACCCTCTTTGTAGTCTTCCAGAAGCTGGTACAAGTAAAGTACAGGGTCTTTCTCATAGGTAATGAAAAACCATGTGGGCATCATGGGTGCTGTGGCAAGCACTAACCCCCTCCAGCCATTCTTTGATCCATCACCCATCTCAAACTGGTGCTCCACAGCTCGACCCAAGATCATCTCAGCTAGACGAGTGTCACTTATTCGATATGAGGCTGGAAGCAGAGGTAATGTTGCTTTTAATACCCAACAGCACTTACAACAGCAAGACCATTTTAACAGTGAAAATTACATTTTGAAATATGAATAACACAAATTAATTTACTTATTAAAGTGGCTTTGTTCTACGGTTTTAGGATTTTTTTTTATTCTAATAGAACATTTACATGATGTCAAAGTTCTTTAAACTTCTTCACAGTCGCACACTTTTACAAAAACAGTCTTTTAAGGAATCATCAAATCAGTTCTAATATAATATGCTTTAATATTCTCGAATCTTTTTGGTTAGACAGTTTTTCAAAGCACTTACCGATTTTGTCAGGTAAGATTTCAAGATCTTGAACCCTCTCATCTCTAAGAATCTCCAGGCCATATACACAGTCAAAGCCATCGTACTTAATGAGGTAGAGAGACGGGTTTACTGCAACTTGGTCTAGGACTGTCCCACTCCAATGTGATATAGGACTGTAACAATCTTCTTTCCATTTGTGTTTTATCCTGCAGCCAACAATATTTCGTCTAGGTGGGGTAACCAGGATGCTAGGACCCACATGATGCCTGTGCTTATGCCTAATACAAAAAGAAGACAAATGACATCTAATTTAGTAGTTGAATCATAACTTTCTCTCCTAATCTAATTTTAATGGCTCTTTAAGGAACCATGTGCAGAACTAACTCTATAGGCATTTGTTTGTCTGTATGTTATCTGCAAGCAATGTTAAATAACAGCCAGCAGTTTGTAGACATGAATTTGGCAACAAGCACAAATACATTTCAACAAGGTTTTTATGTCAACAATATGACACAGCTATAGCTGTTTACCTTTAACCCACATTAGATCCAGAGATTTTTAGTTAGTAACTTTTTGACTAAACTGAAAAGCTTATTTTTATCTTATTGGTGCTTATATGATTTTGGCCCTTCATGTGGCTTAGGCATAGAAGTTTGGAAAATTTGTGAAAGCACGAAATTACAAAGATAAGTAGCCTGTTTGTTAGATACACCTACCTTGTACCTACACTCTGAAAAAATGGCCAATGAGTGTATCAGGTGCAATACTTCAGTGTTGCTGAGAAGTTGAGATCAGATCTATTAAAAACCTACTAAAACTATCCAGCCAGCACTGGTCCTGGGGTCAGAAAGTGACCACTGATGAAGATAAACTTGTCATCTTAAAAAAAATCCCTTAACTACAGATTAATTAATGCAAATTGTGCATGTAACAAGATGAACTGTATACCTGCAAGGCCTACCAACAAAGTATAATGGTCCACCTCCGAAATCATCTGCTCAGTGGTGCTCTTTTTGAACTGATGGACAGGGTTGAGATTGACTGACAAACTGTGCAGCAACAGATGGGCTACAGTCAGTAATGCCATACCCACAAAGAGCAGCTTTCTAGTAGGTTTACCTAATAAACTGGCCAGTGAGTGTAGGTGCAAAGTAAGTATCTAATAAGCAAGCAACTCTGTTTATCTCAGTTTATCTCACTTTGCTCTGCACTTCCACTATAGACTTACAGCCTCTGCTCTCTAATCACGAATTCTATTCTATTTACACACTCACAATTGTGAATACATTTTCATGATTGAATGACAAACAAAATATTTTTTAAATGACATTACCTGCAGAAACATTCACAGACATGCAGAATATCATACAACACATTTAAATACTGCATTTGGTTTCTCTCTCTTTTTTTTTTTTAAAGTATTAAACAATTTTTAGGATGGATCTGTTTGGCAGACACAAAGGAAGGATCTGTTGCATGAAGGCAAATCTATGTGTTTTCTAAAAGTGACACTGTACCATGATTGTCAACATATACTCACTTATGCGAGCCTTTTTTCTTCATCCTAGGCCTGCTCACAGACACGTCAGCTTTTGCTGTAATTGCAAAACAGATGTTCTCTGGCATTATTAAATACTTTCAGGGGTTTCCTATACATTTTATTCTTTTCAAAAAACAGTTGTAAGGTGAATGTCATTGCTAACTATATATCATTGTTGACATTTATACAAACAAAAAATCTGTTTAACATTATAAGGCTTTTGAGCAACTCTACCAAGACCAGTTAGGTCTCCTCACCTCCTCTGGAGTGGTGGTGGTGACCTGAAATCTTCCCAGACCTGTTCATTCTTTCAATGATGTAAGCCAGATTTGAAGATTAGCTTCTTCTCACTCAACAGCCTGAAAGCATGAAGGAAATGTTTGAAAACTTACATATTTTAAGATGTTTTGGGATGAATTAATGGAAAGACTTGTCATCTTTAAAATAAAAAAAATAACTTCAGCATAACATTTTGTGCATTAAGTGTTGCCTGCATTCTTATAAAGTTCTTCAAGATTTTTTTTTTAAGTGAAGGGATAGTTCTATTTACAACCATGAGTTCTATGTAGCAGCATTTCAATTTTAAATAGCTCTTTGCACGGTGAAATGGTTCTTCAGACTGATGAAGAATGAGATTGAAAATGTTTCTATAAAACACCAAAAAAAGGGTTCTTCTACCGCTATAAGTTCGATATATATAGAACCATATACAATATATTCTCCATCCATCTGAAGAACCATTTCACCATGCAAAGAACCATTTAAGCATGACATGCTTCTATACAGAACTCATGTTTCTGAAAAAAATCCCCTTACTAAAGAACCCTTGAAGAATTATCATATTAAGTGTACTCTTTGTGTGCATTCACTTTTGATGCAAAAGAAAATAACTAAATTAAAAAAGGTACAAACATGTCGTCTAAAGGACTTATGTTTCTTCAGAAAATGAAAAGGGCTAATAAAACATGTAGCTTTTCTTCGGTAACCGCACAACGCTTTTGACTGCCATTGTGTTTACATGTCTCACCACAGCCACCACAAAGCTACCAACGAGGCAAACGGCGTGAACGGCGTGGCTGGGCAAAAGAACATTGAAACTTTGTCTTTAGTACTTAGGACCAGGTTGTCCATGTAGGCTAGTCCAGACAGCGACGAAAACTTGCACAAAGTATCCGCACTTAAAGTATCTTGTCAGTTCAATGCAAAAAAAGCAAGTGCTGCAAATACAGATTTACTTACATGAGGTGTGAGTCGCGTATTAAAGCAGTTTACAGTGTTGCCCTCCGCAATGTGGTTTTCGCTCTTTTCTTCATTGCTAAACAAAAAGCTGCAGTTAATGTGGCGCTATTAGCCGTGTAAGGCAGATATAAACACTTTAAGAGAGAAAACTGGAAAAGGCAAGATTCTGCGCCCCCCACTCAAAACAGCGTCCCCCGTGTAAGAAACAACCTTAGGTGGTGATTACTGCGCATGCGCAACTGAACATTCCTCCAGAAGTGCCTTGCCCACTTCCAGACAATAAATAAAACAGCCTTTCAATAGCTAAACATAAGTAACAACCAGTGTCGTCTCGAACACGAATCGATTAGGGTTTTAATACAGAATCTGGTAATAAAACCGAAAAATAAATGCTGCTCTTGTATTTACGTCAAAGATAACGTCTGAAGTTTACAAACCTTTTAACTACTACAGAAAGGCGTTGGAAATGGCGCCTTAAAACTAACAGAGCTCTTAATGGAAGTTGCTAGTCAGAAATCCTAAAGAAACACACTTTAAAGCTTAGACAAGCCACTTGAATGCAATTAGGGTGATTTTAAAAATATATTTTTTAGCTTCAATAATCATAGAGTGGCTTTTCATAGTATGGAGCTTCACCATCCACCATTCAACATTCAACCACTTCTCTGTAGTGGTCCTGACCTTTGAAGAACAGGGTGAAAGGGTATGCACAGTATGCAGAGAAACAGATGGACTACAGTCTGTAATTGTAGAACAACAAAGTTCTCCTATAGGGTACGAGGTACGAGGAGCTGAAAAAATGGACAATGAGAGTAGGGGGTGTACTAATGAAGTTGGCAGACGGTGTAAGTTCAATGCACATAAAGAGAGATTATCATCTTTCCCTACTAATACAGACTTAGACCGTTAAATCTCTACACCAGGGTTTCTCAGCCACTGGGCCATAAACCACAAGTGGGCTGTGAAACACACTCTGGTGGTCCTCGGGCCAGTACTGAGGAGGAGCCATTGGTTCATAGTGGGCCAGTGATGATACTTTGTCATAAATGTCAGTGAAAATTTTTGACTCAATAATAACAAAGAAATATAAAATGTTTCCAAACAATAAACTATATTGATACAAGTCATGCAAACAAGATCATCTATTTTTTGCTCTTGTCTCTAGAAACAAAATACACTGCCCTGAAGTTTCAATTGTCCACTCACGAGATCTGATATTTAATGTTCAGTGATGTACATGGTATGTTGCGCCATCCGAAAATTGTGAAGATTGCTGTATTTAAAAAAATCCTAAAAATAGCATGCTATCTAGTGTTGAATAGGTGGGCCTTAAGGTGGAAAAGGTTGAGAACCCCTGATCTATGTGAAATATGGCAGAATGTCCTTATTGCTGTTAATTTGTCATAGAAGTAGTTCATGGATACAACAAAGACAATTGGCAATTCCATAGAAGAACAACTTTTGGTTCCCTGAAGAGCCACATCTGAAAAAAAGATTTGTGAATGTGAGGAAACTTTTAAAGGTTTAACCAACATTAAACCTTAAGAAGGTTCTATAATCTAGGGGTTCTTCCTAGAAACTTTACAATATGTTCTAGGAACATATTATGTGGAAGTTTCCCACACACACCCATCTCATTTACAAAAAAGTACTATCTGCTGAAAGGTTTTACAGGTAAACCAAATTGGTTCTTCTATGGCATCATGCAAAGAACTGTTTTTGACACCTTTATTTTTAAGAATGTTTATTAGATCTCTGAAGTGCATCTGTGGTTTTGATTTTGGTAACCAAGGTTTCACCTTTGAGAGATGTGTGTGTATGTAAACCCATTTAAGTGGATTTCAGTATAGCCTGTTGCTTTACTTATATAACCATGACTTATGTACGCTTACAAGAGGTACACAGGAATGCATTTTATAGTGTTCTTAGCTGTAGAAGTAGCTTATGTTACTCTAAACATTAGGTGGACTCCCAGGCCTGGCATCTGAGGCCTGGCTGAACTGACAAGGGCCTACTGTGATTGTTTAGTGGCCTTGAGGGTGCAGAGACGAAGGTTTCTAGAAGGGGCCAGTTGGGTGAAGCTTCCTTCCATTTTTATTCTGGTCTTCGGAGATTTCTGGAGTTTTCCAGGAGCTTCTCCCCAGCCATGAGCTTTAATATTACTTTGGAGCATTATTGTGACTCTGAGACTTTACTGTTTTCTGGTTTATTTAGGTATTTTCTATGACACATCCTAATAGCATCTGCGTAGTAACCCTCAAACTGGCCAAAGGCCCTGAATGGCCTTGAAGAGTCTTGAATGGCTTCTCAGTGGCTCTCAAGGAGGTCGAGAGATAGGTAGCCAGCTGTAGGCTTATGTCAAAACATGGTGTCCTGAATAGTTATGATGATTATGGTTTATGGTTATTAACACAACGGCCAGTACAGATTGTCATTATCCATTCATGTACACGTCTGTACATGCTTAGCCTCTTATTGTTTTCAGCACTAAATGCTCTTCCAAATTGTAAAAGGTTTTAATAAGACAGTATGACATTTGTGCCCATAAGGTACTTTCATATAGACCTTGACAATTAGTTAAAGTAGCCACCTTACAGATTACAATGCACCTTTACCAGTACAGTTTCCTTCACTTTACAACAGGGGTGTTCAACTACAGGTCGTGCAGTCCTGGTTTCCAGCACAGTTATTGCCCTGCTCAAAAAACACCTACTGAACCTGGCAATTAACAAATGTGTTGAATCAGATGTGTTAGAGCAAGAAAATTACCAAAACTATGCTGGTGCCCTCCAGGACCAGAGTTGAAGACCCCTGCTCTAGAAGTCTGGTTTCCCTCTGTGATGATACTGTGAAGTAAATGAACCTCAAATCAAGATTAGGTCTGAACAAGTAGGTTATGAAAACCCAATTCCAAAAAAGTTGGGACAGTAAGAAAAATATAAATAAAAACAGATAGCAATGATCCATTGCAAATTCATTTTGACCTGTATTTAAAGCGGCATTGTGTGAGAATTGGTATTTTTTGCTATTGGGGTCCCCCTACAGACGTGGAGTGCATTTCATTTTGAGGCTACTGTCGTAAATACGCATTGCGCTTTGAGTCTCCCTCATCGACAGCTTTTCAGGTTAATTTTTTCATTTTCATTTGTTGATGAACTGACGGATTAACGTGTGTATATATATATATTAGGGGTGTGAATCTCTAGGCACCTTATGATTCGATTCGATTACGATTCAGAGGGCTGTGATGCAATTATAAAACGATTATTGATGCATCTCGATGCATCTTTTTTTTCTATATAGCATTTATATTCTCTCACTGTATGAGCTCAAGTTTCGAGTTCAAGTTTCAAGTTTATTTGTCATTTGCACAACATGTCAGGACATTTATGCATTGAAATGCTTGTGGTGAGACTCTAATTACTCTACAGAAAGTAAATAAGCAAAAATAAAAATACAAGAAAAACCAACTGAAATATATTAAATATACACAAAATATACACAGAATATACAGACAATATACATTTTAAAGTGACTAAGTGACTCAGTGTTGTTATTTAAAGTGACTTGGTACTTTTAAAGCAAAGTATTTGTAATGATCCATAATGAATTTACTTCCAATATCTTTTTTAATAAAACAAATAGAAGTGATGTGGCAAGTGAACTAGAAGACTCTCATTCAGTGCTTTTTTTGTTTGGAGCATGAGAAGCTGCTGCTACTCATCTGCAATAAAATAAGATCCAGTGGCAGTGGAAGTCCACGCAGCACGTTACAGATATTCTACCCGTTTTCTTTAGTGATTTTATAACTTAGGTTTTGGTCTTGTCATAGAGAGTGGGGGGATCGCTGTGTCAGTAAAGTATCTTTGAGACGGGACATGTGAAACATAGAGCGAAAGCCCTGTTTCGCAACGAGAACCGGCGACGAGAAGCGACTTCAGCCTCGTAAAACAGTCGTTAAGAGACATTTAACTGATCTACTTCTGAGGAAAAGTTTTCTGGCGGAGATGGAAGAAAAGCGGCTATAGCTGAATCTTAAAGCAGAGTAGAGTAAGTCCGCGTTTTCGTTTAACTGACCTAAGCTATATTGTTTAGCCTATACTAGGACATTAACACATACTGAGACATACTGGGCATTAAATGTTGTGGCTGCCAAGGTGGTTTGATTTTTGTTGAAAAAACAAAATGGCTCTTCTTATCATTTATGTTGTGACTCCTGATCTAACCTGGCTTTTAATGCACTTGTGTTTTTGTTATGTGCCGCCACAGACTGTCCGGGCGCTGCACTTACCCACTTCCAAGTTTCACCTTTTATGTTCCGTCAACATTACGTTATAAATTAAATATTTAGAAAATCGATTTTTGACATTTGTGAATCGATTCAGCATCGTTCACGTCCGCATCGCAATGCATCTAAGAATCGTTTTTTCCCGATTTTTTTATATATGAAGGACACAGCATCCGACCCCCATGTGTAAACAACCGAAGTCATGAGTGTAATCTGTAGCATCCATATGCTTGCTTGACATGGATTTGAGATGGTGAAATCCCTAAATTCCTTGCGGTCATGTACTGAGAAATGTTGTTCTTAAACTGTTGGACTATTTTTTTCATGCAGATTTTCACAGAGTGGTGACTGAGCCATTTGTGAATGCTCTCAGCCTTACATTGCCCCTGTCCTTTTTTGGAAACGTTTTTGGAAAATGTTGCAGGCATCAAATTGAGGATTAGCAAATATCACCTCTGCTTGTGTCAAATTTTTATCTTGATGCCCTACAGTGTCCCTGAGCCAGATAAATGCACTGTGTTATTTAAAGCAGCATTATGCAAGAATTGGTATTTTTCACTCTTGGGGTCTCCTTACAGTTGTGGAATGCATTTTAATTTTACACCACTGTCGTAAATATGCATGGCACTTAGACCCCACCTCATGAACAGCTGTACACATGTCAGCTTACAAGGTGGAGTAATATTACAGGATTTTATTACAGAAGGTTGCAAACTTTCAGGGCTTATTTGGCATAAGATTGAGAAAAATAGAACAAACGTTTTGCCGTGAGATGGTTTTATTTCTTTGCATGCTAGTCTGAATCGGGCCTGAGGTTAGATGACTTTTGGCATCCGGAAAAACTATCAAACTTTTTGAGACAGAGATGACACAGATAAGGTTACAGCCTATGTCACAAGCCTTCATAAATAATCAGAAATGACATAACTTTGTTGCACATGTGTAGTCCAAATCAGGTTTCCAGTTCAAATTGGGTAGTCACACTAGCTTTTTCTTATAGCTAGCTGAAGACCCACAGTTGTTGGTGTGTGTTGTGGTGCTGTTAAGCGTTATGCAGGTTTTGTGAGAGGTCTTGTGCCTACTCCTCCAAAGTTACATAGCACGGAATGGCAATGACAGAGATGCCATTCTCCCTCTTGTAAGTCAGTGTACCATCAAAATTATTTTGAAGCTGTTATTTTAAGGTATTATTGTTAAAAAAAATGTTACATAATGTTGCTGTAATGCTAATGTTATGTACAGTCATACAAATATGTTCTAACACTCCTCATAAAATGTCATGTTTAGTGAAAATAAGTTAACACATCCTCTACAGGGAACCATCTTAAATATAGCATTTTTTATTTATATTATTCATATATTTATTTTTTTTTGCTGAGTTTAACATATTGGGAGGAAAAAAATAAAACATAAAATGTGACATAACTTTTGTACAGACCACATTTTATAAACATTTTAAATATGTCAAATATGTTACCTTCTGCTAATAAACGGTAATTGTGAGTTAAAGTGTGCAGAACTGTGTTCTCTGTAGAAGAATTTTTACTGTTAACTTTTTTCACTCAGAAAAAATGTAGTTTGACAGAAGCACCCAAACTTTTGTATATTATACACTACAGTGCCTAGCAATTAGCAGATGAGCTGTCTGCAACACATATGTGTTAATGTTTGGTTCATTGGTAATATCAGATTTTGCTATTACAATAGAATACATCAGAATACTTTTTTTAAATGATGGATTCATGCCTGCTTGCATTGTTCACTTCGTACACTGAATTTAAATGACCCACTCAGGGAGTGTGTGAGCTTGTGGACATGTGATAGATCTGAAAGAGCATGACATTGGGAATTGTATCTCCCAAGGTAAAAATAGTACCTTGCTCAGACGTACTAAATATAGATGCCCCATAGACATGGATCGTGTCTAACTCTTGTAAACAAGCAGTTAGAGCTAGAAAGAAGCACAACATATACCCATCACAGGTAAGACTTTATTATTTTTGGAACAGATTCATGGTTGCTTGAAATGGTGTGGATTACTTTTCATATTGTCTGGGTCAGTTTCATATGACCTTGAAGTCATTTTTTACTACTGTTGTTGAGAGTAAAGGCAAGTCAGGTCACACTTCCATTGCAACATGCTAGCTTATGTAACCAGAGATATTCCACATGTAATTTCGCAGTTTGTTAGCAAAACTGCTATATTAGCTTCTTCTGTATTATTTCCTGTATTATTCATCAGTCAAGCAATGCTTTGCTGTGTTGAGACTTCCAAAGATAATAATATAAATGAATAGCTATATGAACAGTTTGTTATTTCTTGTATAGTGTCTTCTTGGAAACTGTTTTGTTAGAATGATGCTACAGATTCTCTACAAAATGTTCCTAAAAGCTATTCTTGTTCACAAACAGACACCATCATGAGGGCAGATAGGATGGGAATCGACGTTCCCGTGTATGACCTCTCACTGATACGTGAGCTCTGGGAGACCCGAGTGAGGAAGCACAAACAACGGCAGAAGAAGGAGCAGGAAAGGATCAATAAAAGTGCCCTGGCCAAGTGAGAAAAACTGACAAACATTGGTTTACTGTGTACAAGCTGTTATGTGTAAAGCCAATGTAGGCCTATTGTAGATATGTGCAATATGCTTTTTTAACAAACATACAAGCTTTGTTGCCTTATGGAGGTGCAGTTACAAGCATTTGAGCTTACAGTGGTTTGAAAAATATTAAAATCACATAGGAAAATTTGCTTCTGTCATGTTTTGCTGCACTTGGCAGAACTTGAATTGTATTCTAGACCTTTCTTTATTTTATGGACAGCTTATCATATCCAAATGAATTGGCCATCTTTCTCTCTGACAATGTTTCCGGTTGAAGCAATAATTAATCTTTTCCTTCCTTACATAAATTTAAGCCAGCAAATTTCACCATTGGTAAAACAGTTGGTTGTGTACATTATTACTCAGCATTCATATCCTCATTGGCCACTTTATTAGGTCTTCTACAATTACAGATTTGCCAGAGGATATTAACTGGTATGTTTACTATATGCTAAGTGCCACTTGTTTGGGCACTACATGTTAAAAGGCTAAAAAAAATATCATGGAAAACTGACCTTTCCTTGCTTTTTTATTTAAAAGTGCTAGTGTAAATACTGCTAAAGTTCCAGTCTATGCAGTTCATGTATGTTGCAAAAACACTTTCACTGCTTCTGTATCGTCACAAATATCAATGCATATCCACCTATTCATGCTGAAGTTATAAGGAGTGTTTCAGCCTGGACTGCTTTTTAAATAAGGCACAATATAGAGAAACCAATCAGAACAGAGCTACCTTGTATCTGTACTCATTGTCTATTTTATCAGCTCCAGTTACCATAAAGGTGCACTTTATAGTACAAATACAGACTGTAATCCATGCATTTTGCTGCATACTTTTACACTGTTCTTCAATGGTTAGAACCCCCACAGGACCACCAGGTATGATTTGGGTGGTGGATTGTCCTCAGCACTGCATTTATACTGATATGGTAGTGGGAGTCTTGACCATTGATAAAAAGAATGGGGCTAGCAAATTATGATGGACAGATGGACTATAATCTTTAATTGTAAAACTATAAAGCACATCTATATGGTAAATGGAGCTGATGAAATGGACAATGAGTGTAGATACAAGTGCAGATACAGTGATTTTAATATTTTTCACACAACTGTACACTTTAGGCAGTAGGAGAATAACATCAAATCAAACTTTTTGTCATCAGAGACAACACTATAACTTGTGCTGTTGGTTCTTAGGATAAATCAGCAATGGCAGTATCGTATAACGTGCAGAAAAATGAAGATGAACGAAGTCAATGCACTCCAGTGCTATCTGGAGAGATCAGCCTTTGCAGAAATGGACATTCTACCTACAGTTGACACAAGTATGTTTAAAGCAAAGGGAAATGTGTACATTGCTTTATCAAGAGTATGTACTATGGCAATGATCACGATGATTTCATATTTCAAATGTACATTTTTTTTCTTTTTACCCACACCAGCTTTGAACTTTAGAGGTTAATTTGTTCATGAAGAGCACAAATTAAGTGGAATTGGAATAGTAATGGAGAACTTCAATCACAGTTTCTTTGACTCACCTCATGGAATATGCCATCTGACCCGATCATATTTTTTTGTTTTAATTGATTTTTTTTGCTCACACGTTTTTCACCTTTTCTCTTCAAAGCAGGCCTTGACAGTGAAGATAAGAAATTCATTTTTGAGCTGAATGGAAAAAAATGGAGGGTAAATCTCATTTTGGCAGTTTCAAACAAAGAAACTATAATATAAATAAGCTATTATTAAGACATGCTAAAATATATTTAATTTATATTTATCTGAACCAAATAACAGAAACTACCAGAAGATCTTCAGTACATGACGTTTCTTAGGGAATGGCATATTCGTGGAACAAGAATTCAAAAGATTCCCACCTACATTCAAGAGTTCGTGTCCTTGCGTGTCCTGGATATACCTAAAAATGGATTCACAATCCTCCCCCCTGAGATAGGTCACACTTTATTTATTACACATTTACACACTCTTGCAATACTTTTTTTAGCAAGTGGCTTTTAACATACTTGATTAACTTAATTGGTCATCTGTGTCATCTTCAGGAAAATTGGCTAACCTGAAGGAACTGAATGTGAATTACAATAAGCTATCAAGCATTCCTCCTGAGCTTGGAGAATGTGAAAATCTGGAGAAACTGGAAATGACAGCAAACTTTGATCTCAGTGAATTGCCATTTGAGGTAACAAGCATCTTCAATTTTTTGTCAGGGGACAATTTGTGTTAATTTGTTAAGGACTTTAATATAACTGTGTTTTTCCAGCTGAGCAACCTAAAAAAACTTAAACATCTAGACATAGCAGAAAACAAATTTTCCACCATACCAGTCTGTGTGCTTCGAATGTCAAGTCTGCAGTGGTTGGACATCAGCAACAACAGACTCACAGATTTGCCAGAGGATATTGACAGGTATGTTTAGCATATGCCTCAGTACCACTTGTTTATATTTTTAACCAATTTATAAGGCACTACATTTTAAAAGGCTCATATGGAAAACTGACTTTTTGGCATTTTTTTAAATAAAAGTGCTTGATGTAGTAGCTAAATGTTGCTAAAGTTTCAAAACATACATGTACTTCCCAGCCCACGCAGCCCATATATGGAAACTAAGTCACAAAAACAGACTATTTTGAACTGATACTGTGATGTGATGAAAATCAACACATTTACAGGTATCCGCATATTTGGCCTATGACAGTTTAGCCCCACCCATTCACACTTAAGTTAATAAGGAGTGTTTCAACCTGGAATGCTTTTTGAATAAGGCACAATACAGGGCACCCAATCCAAACAGAGCTAATTTACATATGTCAGTTTTAAAAATACTTTTAAATGTTATTCTAAGAAATAAAGAAAGGTTGGAAAATGGTCATGTAACAGTCATGTAACAGGTAACGTATGGCTGTTTTTGGTACACAAATCCACACAAACATAATAAGTGGACCTTTGGGGAAAATATAAAATACAAGAAAAATGTTAAGATATGGGCCTTTTAACAGTTAATTCATTCACTAATGTTTACTTATTTAAATAGGCTAGATGAGTTACAGACACTGTTCCTGCACAAGAACAAATTGACATACCTACCACTGATAATGGGAAATATGGATGCACTCAAGATGCTTGTTGTCAGTGGAGAAGAACTAATCAATTCACCTTCCAAACTCTATGACAACCCTAACATCAAGTAAGTAGGAATTTCTGCAAATGTATTTGTTCACCAGCGTAACCCTAAATTCTAAAACTGACATCCAAAGTTGAAGCAGAACAGCAATAAGAATTTTTAAGTTTAAAACAAAAATGTCATACTTCATGTCATTTTCATATCTGTTTTCAGATTCATCAGATTATTTGATAATCCCTTAAGCAAGAATGTTGATGAGGATGAGAAAGCAGTCTCCATTGATGACACCACAGAGCAGGAAGATCACGAGAAGGAGTTTATACAGACGTATATTGAGACTCTAAAGGATCGAGGCAAGTTACACATGATTTTCAGAATTTTTTAAACCACCTGAAGTATCCTAGGTATAACACTATACTAGTCATCAAAACATATTTAAATTCCATGTCCCTACATTGTATAGAAAAATTGTTGAAAGAGAATGTCTGCAATAACCTTTAGAAGTTAAATACCCATTAGCCACTGGAATGCATTACTATAAGATTATGCAGTGTCATGAAAAAGTATTTTCCCCTCACCTGTTTTGTTTTATTTATGCTGTTTTGTCACATTTAAATTAAAGATCTATTCAAAATCTATATCACCCATTACCCCCCCCCACACACCCTAATAATTGGTTGTGCCAATCTTGGCAGTAACACCTGCAGTCAAACGTTTGCAATAACGTATGATTAGTCTTGTTAGATCATTTTAATTCAGCTTCAGTGAATGATTTTCCAGAATGAACTGCCCTTTTAAAGCCTTGCCACAGCATCTCAATGGGATTTAAGTTGGGACTCTGACTCAGCCACACCAAAACCTTAATTTTGTTTCTGTTGAGCCATTCAGAGGTGGACTTGCTTGTGTGCATCCGATCATTGTCCTGACTGCTTAACCCAAATGCACTTGAGCTTTAGGTCATGAACTGACAGGTGGACATTCTCATTCAGGATTTTCTGATAAAGAGCAGAATTTATGGTTCCATCCAATTATGACAAGTTGTCCAGGTCCTGCAGAAGCAAAGCAGCACCAGACCATCACACTACTGACTGCTGGTACAATATTTTTCTGGTGGAATGCAGTGTTAGCTTTACGGGACCCATGTAGTCCAAAAAGTTCCACCTTCGACATCATCATCAGTCCACAGAATACTATCCCAAAAGTCTTGGGGGTCAACTAGATGTTTTTTGGCAAATATATGATGAGCCTTCGTGTTCTTTTTGGTCAGCAGTGGTTTGCGCCATGTAACTCTCCCATGAATGCCATTTTTGCCCAGTGTCTTTCTTATTGTGGAATTGTGTACATTGACCTTGACTGAGGCAAGTGGGGCTTGTGTTTCTTTAGATGTTAATCTGGGTTTTTTTGTGACCTCCTGAATGAGTCATCAACGTGCTTTTGGTGAAATTTTAGTAAGCTGGCCACTCTTGATTGTGGATTTAATTTGACAATAATGGCTCTCTCTGTGGTTTGTTGGTGTCCCAGAGCCTTAGCAATTGTTTCTAACCCTTTCCAGACTGGAAGATTTCTATGTATTTGTTTCACATCTGTATTTTAATCTTTTTAGAACATGGCATCATATGCTGCTTTTTTAAGACCTTCTAGCCTGCTTCACATTGCCAGACAGGTTCTATTTAAGGGATGTTTAGATTCAACAGGTCTGGAAGTAGCCATGCCTGGGTGTGGCTAGTAAAATTTAACCCAGTAGTCAATTGAATTTGGTTAACTGGTTGATTTAGCAGCTAAGCGGGCAGTTACTTTTTTTTTACATAATGCCAGGTAGGACTGAACAACATCGTTCCTTTGATAAATGAAATCATTATTTAAAATGAGCATTTTATGTTCACTTGGGTTTTCTTTCTAATATCAAAAGTAGTTTAATGATCTGAAACATTCAAGTGTGGCAAATATGCAAAAACAGAGGAACTTGGGAAGGGGCAAATACTTTTTCACAGCACTATACATTAAACAAGCTACAGTGCTCAAAAGGAGTCTTGGGACACCTCTGTTGTCATTTGCTAATCTATTATGTAAATTGCTTTAATGCTTTACCACATTCAAAAGTAGAAAAGTACATAATTTCAGCAATATTGTAACAGTACCAATTAATATTTTGGGTCCAGCTGAACAACAGAAAACTATAAAACTATAAACTAAAAAACTATAAATTTAATCTTATTATTTTATTTCAAGTCAGTGAATTGTATGGCTGATGTTTGGCAGTTACCAAGTGCTGGATGTCAGTAGAAGAGAGGAAAGTTGCAAACAGGTCTTGTTTCACTTATTCATAGTGTATGTCTCAGCCACAGGCCTTTTCCTTTTGAAACCATGTATACATGATAGATGCATTTCATAGGATCAAAAAAAGAGAAAATGTTTTACATTCATTTGCGCTGAAAATAGGAAAATAACTAGCTAGCATTTTGTCAGACCAATGAGCTTGACCTAAACACAATGTTTAATTTTGCTAATAACTATCACACTATTTGAAAACCTGATGGCCAACATTCCACTAGCAGTACCACTGTGGCCCACTGGGGGTCCCTCAGCACACAGGTTGAAAAACACTGCTTTAGAAAACTGAAATATTGAGTTAATCAGTCAAAATTAAGTCGTCTCTGGGTAACAAAATATCTGTGAGAAGGACAGCAGATACATTGAATAGCATTTGAATTGCATGTAAGTAGTGAAAAGATAAGGGAAGTGCTCAAAACCTGCCACACACTGACCTCCAAAATCCAACAAACCTGATTGAGCATCAGCAAACTCATGCACAGTCATCCAAAAGAAGCAGCAAAATACTAACCTAAATAAAATACTAAATACTGACATGCATAAAGGAAAGAGACTTTGTTTGTTACACTAATGTTTGAGTACGTTTTACTTGTCTTACTTAAGTTTTCAGTTAATTAATTAGATCATTTTAGGTAAACCTGGTCATTATTGCTGGTTGTTATGACTTTCTGATGGATAAGAATGAATAAATGATAACTTTAGCTTGGAAAGTAATAAATAAACAAGACAAAATTGTTTTTAGAGAGTGTCCCAAGACAACTTTTGGACTCTGCCCATATATACACTGACCGGCCATGCCATTAAGTACACTTACCTTGTATTTACTCTCATTGTCCGTTTTATCAGCTCCGCTTACCATAGAGGTGCACTTTTCAGGTCTACAATTACAAACGGTAGTTAATCTGTTTCTCTGTATGATTTGTCACCCCCCTTTTAAACTGTTCTTCAATGGTCAGGACCCCCACCAGAGTCGGTATTGTTTGGGTGGTGGATCATTCTCACCACTGCAGTGCTGCTGGAGTTTTTAAATACTGTGTCCACTAACTGTCCACTCTGTTAGACACACCAATCTCATTGGTCAACCTTGTAAAGTCAGAGACAGTAGCTCATCTGTTGCTGCACAGTTTGCGTTTGTCATCCTCTAGTCCTTCATCAGTGGTCACAGGACGCTGCTCACAGGATGCCGTTGGCTATATTTTTGTTGGGTGGCCTCTTCTCAGTCTAGCAGTGATACATGTCATTGTCACTGCAGTGCTGAGAATAATGCACCACCCAAATAATACTTTGTGGTGGTCCTGTGGGGATCCTAACTACTGAAGAACAGGGTGAAAGGTGCTAACAAATTATACAGAGAAACAGATGGACTACAGTTTCTAATTGTTTGGGTTAAAAGTTCACCTATATGGTAAAAGGAGCTGATAAAATAGACATTGAGTGTAGATTCAAGGAAGTGTACTTAGTGAAGTGGTTGGTCGGAGTATATCTATTCAAAAACTGTTACACTGCACAGTTGTTGTTTTTTTTTTGAGCTAAAACTGGAACTCTATGCTGGCTACAGTGCTAACTCTAGGATTCAAACTACCTTGGCAGAACAAGGACAACTAGAGTTTCTACCACATTTCTATGTGACATCATGTAAGCTGCACACAGTTTTACCTCCAGAAGCAGCAGCTGTTAGAAAATATTCACATGAAAATACTGTTTAGCTTTAAGAACAATCTTCTGATACATTGACTGAGCTGGCAACATTAATTTTCCTGTTCTATTTTTGGTGCTTGTATTTCAAATGATTCATATGATTTGTATTTGTAGAACATGTAATTATACCATCTATAAACTAATGTGCTATTTATTTTTATTTTCTAGCTACGGCACCAACATACACAACTAAGGTTTCCCTGACTTGCCTTCTTTAATCAACCTGAAGACAATCTGGACATCAGCAATAGGAATAATCACTGAAAAAGCTGTTAAACAATATAACCATTACAAAAATGATCACTGTAAGAACTGAACACAAAAGTTGTTACAATGTTACAACCATTTTTGTATGTGAGCTTTCACTTCATATCTCAGTCATCCTGATTTGCAAGATGCATGTCACTTTGTGTGGTTGTGTTCACAGAAGATGAAGAGTTCTTTGTTTATACATTTTCTAGTTTAAAATGTGTGAGTGCATGACCTCTGCTGGCTGGTACTGAATGAGCGAATGCAGCGTGTCTTGCAATATTCAGTATATATAGATGACGACCACGGTTTCTAGGTCTAGTGTATTTACGTGACCAAATACTTGTTGCTGGACAATGGCCTAATCAGCTGGATGCCATTTATGAGCAACTTAGGTGAACATTCGGTTAAAGATTTAAAGTGTATTGAGGATTATGACTTTGTAAAATATCTTTCTCATTAAGTCTCTTTGAACAATTAAAAGTTAAAGGGGTACTTTGTTTTTATCTCCTTTAGTCAATAACTGTTCATACAGCAATATGTGTGTGTGCAGTACCATGCAAGAGTCTGAGACCACCCTCCAGTTATGTTATTTCCAATCAAAATGGCCATTTAGTACAAGTTATGTATATTTCAGGAGATATTTTTGAGATTAGATATAAGATAACTCACTTGCATGAGGGGGAAAGAAACAGATGTTTCCTGTTGAGTGGAGTATCCATCCATCCATCCATCCACTTTGTAGGTGTACAAAAATATCCCTGTCAATTTCTCCACAAAAACTGAAAGCTTGAATTGACACACTAAATGCTGATTAGTTACACCTGACCTTGACCCTGAAAATGAGTAGCTTGTATATAATGGCAGTTTTGACTGAAAATTACATAAATGACAGTTGGTGTCTATGTTTTGCTCAGTACTGTACAAGACCCCATCTACATCAATGTTCTAGGATTTTACACAAGGACTCACTGTTAAGTAGTTAAACGAAGACAAATCACTCATTGAGAATTTACTGTTTTACTTGTACAATCAATTAATAATTTTACAGGCACATTGAAAAATGTCAAGTTGCAGTGTTTAGCAAACAAATACTGTGTACACTGTACACACTGACAGCAATACACTGCAACACGTAACTATGAAAAAAAAACAACTGCTGCATATTAGGTTAAATAGCACATTTCTCATACTACAAAAGTGCAGGTATTTAACAAAAACACTGACCTCTGTCGTCTAAAGTCTGCCTCTTTCAGGATATAAGTATATGCACACAAAACTATACAGTTCTGCAGAAACTACTGCAATACACTTATTGATTGCATCATTAAAAATAGTTATAACTACATTTGTTCATTTGACATCCTTATTTGTGAGTGAATTTTTGGGCCTTAAAAGCTAACAAGTGAAACCAGTAACAATTGAAATATTGTGTGTGCTTTTTATAATTTATTGTATAGCAGTGTAAAAGACATTCCATGGCATTGCAATTTGAATACTACTACCATGGAATTACACAAATGTTGAATATTATAGAAGATCCCTGTACCAGTTTATCTACCAACAAGCAAAATGAAGTGGAAAATCATGCTAACCAAAATAATGTTAATGAACAATTAAATGAAGTTATTGGCTCATCTTGGAACAAGCGGTTCATGCTGGTAGTTACTGCAGTACATGTTACACAGCGTTATAATAATAAAATGGCATGGTATTTCTATTGCCACAATATTAGACAATGAAACCTAATAATTTTGTAAAAAGCAGAGCATACAACAGGGCACTGAACATACTCAACAATGAATAATATATCAGGAATGTCTGGAGTGGCTTATTTTTTACAGTAGTTGCAAAGGAACGGGAACGCATACAAAGTTGGAGTGTGATGATTTTATCATTTTATCATTGTAATATATAGCACTGATTTGTTGTTTAAAATCAGGTAGCGTTAAGCCCTGCTCAATGTTATGACTTGAGGTAGCAGTATTTGTGTGATGACCACAAGGAGATGGCTATACCAACAAGTATAATTAAATACATCACAGGGTGAAAATAAATACCTCCTTTACATATACATACATAATAGCTGACATATTTGGAAATTGTCAAATTATTTAGGCAAAAGCCATCACTGTTAGATAGTATACAGGTTGTGCACTATTCATGTAGTTTCTTGGATATGTTTGCCTCAAAACAACATTAGATTGCACAGTAAAAGCTATAATGTCTGTGAACTAAATGCACAACTACATGATAAGCTGCACCCTGCATATTTTGTATCTAAAGAGGCAATTAAATTAAAGATAATTGGAAGTCTTGGTTTCTCTAGCTTCTTAGTTACTGAAGTGTTTTTTTTATAATAAGAATTTTAATACACTGATGTTTCTATGTATAGGTTATGCCATTTAATATTTCTTTTTATAGATGACTGTTACAGAATCACATATTTAAATATTAAAAGCCAACAGCTGTCTATAGTACAGAATAGTATACATTCAGTAAATACAAATACATTGACTTTGCAAATGTATGGTGAAGGCACATTCTTTCTCAACAAAGAGCAAAGCATCAGTATGTGATAAAACACTCATCTCAGTTGGCAACTTACCTTATGTTAAAAAAACAGTAATAATAATAAAAAAAACAATGCTGGAAGCAATTTATCAGATAATAAAACGAACACCAGTACAGTAACTGTTTCAAGTCCGTCATTCCAGAGCACATTTTCGCTGCTCTCCTTCATGTATTTCCTGCATATTCCAAAAAAGCTGAATTAGGTGACTACATGCTGCTGTCCTGTAGGAGAGGTTCGTTGTCCTCATCACTCGCAGGAGCAGAATTATTACACTGGGTTCCGCTGACTGGCCCCGATACAGCCCGTGCGCTACAGGTCTTTATCGCCAGACTGTGCCGTTCTGGAATGAAGATGGCTACCAACAGTGCCAAAAGAACTGTACAGGCTCCAAACAAGAAGGGAGGTCCTGGAATGACTGAACTCTGAAAAGCAAGGAGGCCGAAGGTTTAGATCTGAGAGTGTTCACAGCCTTTCACATAAAAGGTAAAGATAAAAGCACATATGCCATAAAATCTTAAAACTTTAAAATCAAATCCTTTTTTTTGTTGTTGTTGTTTTTATAATACATGCACACAGTGTCTGCGCTCACTTGCATGCGCGTCACCTACCGGTTTGTGCTTGCACAACATACTTGCTCCATATGCTATTTTGCAATATATTGCACATGCATCCTGCATCAACCATCAACTATGTTGTTTCTTCAACCAACCAACAATTTATCTACTGCTTTCTGCATAAATTGCAAACAATGAACGTGATTTCATTATGTTTCCATTAAACTAATTTTTAGCACTCAAATGCTTTATGCAATGAAATCATTTCTTAAAAACCTATTGTATTTGACATGTTAACACATGATAAGTTAACACGTCCTCTACAGATAGATCAAAATTAAATATGGCATTTGTCTGCAAATTTTAGTGCACAATTTCTTCTTTGCAGAGTCTGACATATTGGGAGGAAAAAAAAACAAAAATATAAAATGTGCATAGACCTTAATTTATTTTTCAGCTTTCTTCCCCCCAATATTTTAAAATCAGCAAACAGAGAGAGAGAGAGAGAGAGAGAGAGAGAGAGAGAGAGAGAGAGAGAGAGAGAGAGAGAGATTCACAGAGTTCATTGGCCAACGGTGCTTGCACACAGAGGAACTGGACCTCCCCATTTAACCCATCCATGCAGTGAAGCATATCCATGGTGCCTGGGGAGCAGTTAGATGTTAAGTGCCTTGCTCAAGGGCACTTCAGCGATGTACTGCCCAAACCCAGTTTATACCCTTCTCCTGCTGTGCCAGTCATGACAGATGCCCTTTTCTTTTTTTTTTTTTCAAACAGTACTTCTGCACTAAAATGTGCAGAAGCGAGTTCCCTGTACAGCAATCAAACATGTAATTTGACTATGGGTGCCCAAACTTTTGTACAGCTATATGTCACAACTTCTGTTGGGCTTCCCTGACTTCCCCATAATCTACTGATAAAGATTTCAAGTGAGAAATCATCGTACTCCATATAATCCAAAGGGTTCACAACCATAATACATAGCTGCTTTACAGACTGTATATAATATATGCTACTAAACTAATAATAAAATAATAAAACGTATGAGTTCATAATTAGTCAGTACCTCATCACTGACGGTTGAGGCTGGGTCATGATCCACTGGGCCCATCTCATTCAGTTCCACATTGAAGAGAAAGAATATAAATCCAAAAAGAGCTGGACCAAGACCATTGCACAGGCCCCTAATCCCTGTTATCATTCCCTGGACTGCACCTGCAACAGATGGAGTAAACATAAAAAAGCCTTACTTTACAGAAACCAAACCCACTCCAATACCATCAAATACTCTGTCAGTTTTTAAGTCCGTCACTTATACCGCATGCATCTTCTGCGATCAAATAACGTTTGGATTTCACTTGATCGTGTGAAAAGCCAGGTGCAAATACCCTCAGGATTACAATCAGCTCACTCAAACAACATTTGGAACTGACCAGACATGGATCTTCTGTAATGGTCCCTGACTGAGCTATGGGTCCTTTTGACCTTTAATGCCATACCCTGGTGTTGTCTTACCCTGCTGGTCATGATCAGTGCAGCGGGAGACTAGGGCACTCACTGCAGGGAAGGTGATACTGGACATAGCAGCCACTGTGCCAGCTGCCCACATCATCCTACAGAAATGTGACAGTTATTTTAAACCAATGGAGTCATGCAACCATAAGCTATGTGTCTCAAAACATGACAATGCTACAGGGCTTTCAAACAAAGTGATAAGGTATAAGGTCAACTAACCAACCACTCAGAAAGAGAAAATTTCATTAGCAAAAAACATACCATGATTCTGACCCGAAGCCATACCAGGCCAGCTGGAACAGCTGAAATCCAAGTCCCAGTAACACAGTATTCTTGTTTCCAATTTTCCTCATGAGCACACTTAGGAGCAAAGTCTGAAAGATGGGCAACAGCAAAACATTACATCACAAACTACTAAACAACTACTAAACTACTAAACAATGTCAAACTACTAAACAATGTCATCAAAACAACATATACAGTGCAATTATAAGTAGCTGGACAGTGAAGTGAAAAAACAGTGAAGAAATACAAATCTGTCATTGAAATATAAATTACTATTTATCAATTTGTGAAATGTGACCTGAGTATTTTGCACTCTCAAAATATTCAAAAAGCAGTCTAGCCGGTATATGTCCAATACACGACAAAAATCCTAACTGTTAGTGACAGTGATTATCAATATTTGTCTTCAAGTTTTATTTTGTCATACTTTGTGTTAGCAAACTGTGTGTTAAAAGAAAGCAAAGCCAAAATCTAGTTTAAGCGTTTGCCTGCTGTAGAGAAGAAAGGGAGAAAAAGTAAAGAGGAAGTTAAAGTACAGCAATACTTTAGGAAGCTTTGTTACTAAAAATGACACAGTACCTGTGCAACAATAGAGAGGATTCCAACCATTGCTATAAATGCTGCAATTTCTGCTGATGAGAAGTTAATGACCTGAAAATGCAAATATAATTTTAAACTATGAAATTCAATATGAGAAGAGCATTACATTCTCAAAACAATTTCAATCACTCAAAACAAAGAAAAAAAACTAAAAATGTCGACATACAGTTGTACGCATTCTATTTTTTTTTTTCTCAATATGTAAAATTACACAGCTAAACAATAATTGTGCACTAAATTTTGTAGAAATGTGCTCTTCGTATAGGATGCATACTTATTAACAAAACATGCAATTTGACTAGAGGCACCCAAACATGTGCAGAAAATTTCCTGTCCCTCTCCAATAATTAATATTCACTTCGGTGCTTTTACAATATTTTGAAGATGGGTTGTATAAATGTTTGTAACATTGCGCCTCTTCTGTTAGCTGATCCTCTAAGTTCTCTACTTGATGTTGCACTTGTTCTGGAGTAAATTTTGGAAGTGTGTATGTAGTGTTCTGTACAAGCCTCTGTAAGACATGCTTACTTATAAACTTATATGTTTACATGCATCTTAGCAGAAGTACAAATCAGCCATTAACTGTAAAGAATATTTTACTTACCTGTCTTAGGTATAAGAAAAAGCTGGAATACTGCCCTGCCTCTGGCAGGTATGACAAAAACACAGTGACACATATGAGCAGCACTGTGGTGTCCTTCCCCACTTTTCTCAGAGACTGCAGGAAGGAATGGTGGGAACAATAAGTCGTTGAACTATTACATTAGATTTACAAGCTCCCTACAGTCTAAACACTTGAAGAGTGAACATACTATACAGTAATAGGCAAAATACATAAAAAAGTAAAGAACATTAAAAACTCACACCAAAGGGGTCAGCTTGCTCCCAAGAAATAGGAAAACCCCATGATGACAGTCTCATTTTGTCTGGCAGTGACTCTGGCACGACCAGGAGTACAAACAGAATATCGGCTACAGCAATTATGGTGGCTACCAGTACGACCAGGCTGTCTGAATAATTGGCGGAGAGGTAGGCCCCTATAGCAGGACTTGTCACTAAACTTGCAGCAAAAGTTGCTGATACCTGAGACCAGAGAACACAATAACAGTTCAGTGTCAACAGTAAATATAGATATTGTTTACACTACTGCAAATTATTCTCTTTAATCACAAAACGTATCAGATAGAAACCACAAACATTACAAACTAGATCTACAGTAGTTGTGTGCAACGTTTGAACACCCCCAGTTAAATTGCATGTTTTCTTGATGTTCTAAGAGAAACTAAGTTAACACATCCTCTACAGGGAACAAACTTAAATATGGCATTATTCTGCAACTTTTAGTGTAGAATTTCTTTTTAATTGCCAAGTTTAACGTATTGGAAAAAGGAAGTATACAATATAATATGTATCTTAACTTTTGAACAGGCCACTTTTTATGTTTTCTTTCTTTTGTAATAAATTCAACAGTAATTGTGCATTAATATGTGCAAAAACGTTTTCTCTGTAGAGGATGTGTGAACTTATTCTCATTTAGAAAAATCAACAAAACATCTTTAAACCACGGGCACCCAAACTTTTGCATATGATGGTAAATACATGAAATGAAATGTATTTAAACAATTTAGCTCTGTACTCTAGCCCTCTAGATTTAAAATAACAGAACGACATTTAAAATGCACGCTTCTAAAGTAAGATATAGTGCAAAGGCTTTCACAGGGCATGGCACGAAAAAGCAAAATTCTACAATCTGATTACAGACACAGGACCATACACAAGAACTTAATTCTGTTTTAATGCACCATGACTCTTAATGGAACAATCTATTCTTGTTTGGTAACAGTAACTTACTGTTAATTGCATTTCTTATGTATTAATATTATATTTACTTTTAATAACTGCTCATTAAAACTGCATTTACTGAGTTTTTTCAGTTTGCTTTTTAGCATTATTTAGGGATTTTGACTTTCAACTAAACATATTCTATGGTCACCCTCTTCAGTCCTCCTAAGCATCCCATTTGCAATTGTAAATAAGACTTTCAAAATATTTTGGGAAATGAGGCATCTTGTCTTTAAGCATGTTATCTTACCAATCCATAGGCTGTGCTTCTTTCATGTTCCTCTGTAATATCTGCTACATATGCAAATATAACAGAGAATGTAACTGAGAAGACTCCAGATACTGAAATGAGGGCAAAATACCACCTAAGAAAGAACAGAGATACAAGAAAACAGCGGTTTAGTTGTTGATAACACATTTTTTTCCTTGTGGTGGAGCATTTTCAGATTTGCCCACATCAATGATTTGATCTGACTAAGAGCAAGAATTCTAGGGGCAAGAGTTCAGAGCTCTATGGCTTCCATTTTCTTGGAATTGCAGAGGACTTTACACAATTCAAACATAAAATGGAATTTTGATGTCAACGCATAATCGTACAGAACTGTTCTCCACTGCTGAACAATTTTTTAACACGTCTCCTTTAAACATTTCATTTATTGAGAGCTCTTTTTAGAAGTTATTTTGGAATATGCAAATGCAACTTGTTTCTGATTAATGCCATTTCAATAAACAGGACTGCTTTCCTGTTTTTTAAAAATCTTTTTCACATGTGCAGAACAGGTCTTGATAGAAAGTGTTCATTAAAACAATAACAATAACATAATAGCTAAAATCATTCACAGTACTTTTACTTTTGATACACTTTGTACATCTAAAAGCAAGTACTTGTGAACTCTGACAAAACTATAAATAGAAGACTTGTACTTTTACTCAGGTAAAATTTTTCAAGGGCTGTCTCGACTGTCACTCAACCACTGATTTTATGGAAATACTAGAACAAATTAAACTGTGCTGAGTTGTTGGATTGTTTGAACTGACATTGTTCTTATTATATTTATTTTAAGTTGATGCTGATACTCTCTGTTAACAGTATTTGTTTTCATTTTGGAATTACACTTTTAATGTTAGTTAAAAAAAAAATAACAAAAAGAAATCTAAAGAACTATTATAAATGTTGATGTATAGAGGCTAAAAAATGTAAAAACCAAAACAGTAAACTAAATCTGATGAAAACTTAAAAGGGAATATTAAAACAGACTATACACATAGCCTCACACACCATCTATGAAAGACTACAGTAGTCATATCTCTGAGGATTTGCAGTGGGCAATAAGCACCACAGAGGGATATGCTCACATGAGAGCCATGTGACAGCATACAATGAGTGTAGTGTAGGCTGAGCCAACAACAACTCCTACCATGGGCTTATCCTCATCAGTGGGATGGGGGCACAGGTAAAGAACACTGTCAGCAACAGGAAAGACTTTCTGCCCCATACATCTGACAAGGCACCAATTAAAGGGGCACTCATGAATGATAGCAAACCCTGTCAAAGACAAAAACGTCAGAGAGCATATTTTAATACAGTTTATTTAGGCTGAAAACAGTGTCAATAGCAAATAGCTACAGCACAATTCAGTCAAATATGCGAAGAAGTGTAAATAATAGTAAAACAATATTTCACCTTAACCCCTTGAATAAGCCCATTCATGAGGAATGTGTGCTCTGGAAATGTTTCATGTAGCACCTGAGGACAAATAGAATGAAACATGTTACAAAAACAAAGCTATCCAAAAAATTCATTCTATAGTTATACTACAACAACGATGGGGACAGAGGGATGGAGCCTGGCAAATGTAACTTGTTTCTAATGAGTGCCAATTTAGTTAACAGGACTTTTTTTTCTTTTAAAAACTTTGCTTTTCACATGCGCTGCCACACAGATTTTGACAGAAATTGTTAATCAAAACAATAACATGATATAATTTAATCGCAACATGAGCAAGAGCAATTTGTTGATTTCTTTGTTTTGACACAACTAAACCTGGTAATCAACTGCTGAGTTGAATTAGGTGTGAAACATCACCAAACAGGAAACAGAGCTCCCCACCCCTGTACTACAGCATACTGTGATCAAAGTTAAAGAAGAGCCACATAAAATAGTCTACTACATTCATAATTCGTTAATAAACTAAGTTTGGTTAAGTGGTTTGCTCCTTAGTGCCTTCAAGAATACATGATTTGCAAATTTAGCAGCAATAAAGAACTACATAAGAATGCACATATACGATAATTATGCTATTTAGAACTACAAAATTACTTAATTGTAGAATCTTGGTATTAGAGATGGCATGTCTACATCAATGTGTGTCAGTACTGGGCCAATTTCAGAATTAAATACTAGATTGGATATGGGCATGAAAAACTAATGAATTCGATCTAATCCTGTAACAAATCTATCCTAAAATAGCACTTGCTCACATTGTTTGATGTAATGTTATTAGCTGTGTTTTTCTTCCTGTGGAGCAGTAGCGTGTTTGAGTAACTTGAGCATGACAGCCTACTTTAAATTCTCATCTAAGACATAAGCTTTAATTAAAACAGTTCATTTTAAACTGTAGCATTTTTAGAGAAACAAATACAGGACCAGTATAAGCTGATACCCAAGATCTAAAAAGCTGAGGCTAGATTAGATTTAATTCTCCTTACTGTCTCTCTAAAAAGGAAATTTGTTATCACAGTGTCATGCATATACTGACATTAGAAATTACATCCACTCAGAGACAGAACAGACATAACTACAGGCATCAACACCCATAACACACCAACATAAATGCATATTCAGGTACATCCTTAAAGAGCAAGTATTGTGGATTTTTTTTCAGCACTGTAGTTTGTTAAGGACTGATATGGCTAAGGGTACAAAACTGCATAACCTTTTTACAGGCTAATGTTCTGTATCTACAACCTGATGGAAGTACAGTGAACAAACAGCAAAGTGGATGGTCAGGGTTTTGTGCTACTGCAAGAGCCCTTCTAAAAATAGCCTAATTGTTGAGGTTTGACACGTTGTATGTGGAGAAGCTAATGTTTTTTGAGGCAATATGGGTGATACATGCCAGTTTGTTGATATTGTTGTTTCCACCTTTAACACTGTGACGATGCAAGTATAGCATGATGGGCTCAATTATGCTTCTTTAAAGCAGCAAGAGTAATAAAGGTGCTACATGTAGTGGTCTTAGCATTCTAATGACAGAAAGTCTCTGATATCTCGTATAAAGATCTATTACATGAGGATTTTACTGTCCAGATAAAGTCTAAAATACTTAAAACATCACCTCCAAATCAATCTCAGTATTGTGTTAGAACAGAAAAGGTGGTATGTCCACTATGTATACACACACACACACACAAATCTTGTCTTACACTCCTTGTGAGGATGTCCATAGGCTTCTATTGATTTTTGCACTATGTAGCCAAGTAATACTACACCTAAACCTCAGTATCCAATTTTTCTGCTCTTTTAGTTTATCCAAATAAATGTAATTTGTGGTGAAAACAGATGCACAAGCAAGGACCAGCAAAATGTTCTCACTGGAGCAAAAATGTCATATTGTTCTATCTTTGTGAGGACATGTAGTCCTCACAAGTATAGCAAGACATGCGCACACAGAGAAAGAGAGAGAAGCATAGCAAACAGTAGGGATAACAATCCAAATTTTCACATCGCTTGTATATTAGTCTTATCTGGTGCTTTACATACTGTAAGCATTGGTGTTGTAAGTAGGCCCCAGGAAAAGAATTCCAAAAAGATGACCACAACTGCATGGGTCACCTTTGCACGGCCAGTACTGCGCTGCTGAAGAAAAAGAGAAATTAAAACACTACTTGATCAAAGTCTGCTAGATTGAAGCCACAACACATCATTCTGAACAGTTTAGCATCTTTAAAAACACAGTAAGACACATCAAAGTTTTGAAGATGTAGTTGCATTCAAGAACTATTCACATATTCATGTAACTATCATTACACTCTCTTAAATCTAAGTCTTAAGTTCTAGGCATTAACTGAATTTAAGAGCAGACATACTATTTTAAACAGTTCTCTCTGGTCTAAACCACAGGATGTAATTTAACTGTGTAAGTCACTGTATTTATTGTGGATGGAGGCCTTACATCACCAAATGTCCTAATTAATAAACGGATATTTTAATCTGTGGGGTCTTCCGTTAGCAGCTAGCTATATCATGTGGTTACTCACATGACAGCTACATAGCAGGTCTAGGGTCACATGGGAAACAATCCAGTCCTGCATTATGTGCTGCTCTGCTTTAACATTAATGCTTTCATTAGCGAAAGTCGTGTCCTGGAGCAGTAAAAAGCGCAAATTGAACAGTGGTTCTCCAGGAATGCAGTCTGTCATCTCAGATTTAGATCCTTTGTCATATTAGTTAAAATCTAAATGATTTACAAACTATCGTCGACGGCAAAAATGCCACAGCAGATAAAGTTAGTGTGCCTGCTACGTCTTACGGTTGTAAGCGCCTGCTTAACTGAGTAGTGCTTAGTTAAGATAGCTAAGATAACGTAACATCAGTGACTGAACTGGAAACGAAACCAACATGGAGCGCAACGTAAAAAAAACTAGCTAAGCTAGCTAGCTAGCAATCTGGCTAGGCTGCTAGAAAACGGCAATCTGTTACTGCATCAGCCTGACTAGCAAACTAAAATAACTGTATGCTGTTTACCTGCTCTAATCAAGTTAATGCTAGCTAATTAGCTGGCTGCCAAAGTACACCTCGTTAAGAATCCTGGACTGTAAAGGAAAGTTTCAGATAAGCTAATCTTGATTACAGTTAAGCTACTATTTACAATGGGCGGGCTACGGAAGCAGGCTAACCACTTACCGTAGCAGTCTCTTTGAGGTTTTTGACCAGCATAATGCCGTTGGTCCCTTGCTGCTCTCGGTTATCCTGAGTCATCTCACATTATGGTACATGCGTCTATGAAAAAATCCATTGTGTGAAATCTTAATAATTCGCCCGAATTTGATTCAGAAACGATTAACATTGACCCAAATTTACACCCACCGCCAACTTTGGCACCAAAGTTTCCATGTTACAGATACGCAGTTCCGTTCCGTGCTCCCGAGGCTTTCAAAATAAAAGTAACAGGCTTGTTTATGTTCAAGGAAACGTTGCACGTTTTCAGTGGCACTAACCACAGGAGCACAATAAGTTGTTGAACAGTCCCCAAAAATCAAGAAGAATACAGTTAGCTATGTCAAAGATTTTACATATTTATTAATTCCAGATAGAAATCGTGTATCCCAGGAATTATCAGATGGCGTGTGACTACTACTGCATATGATATTTTTACACAAGAAAACGTGACCAATTACAAAATTACTGTGTGAAGGGAGGCCTGTTTTACTCTTTTTTAAATAACATAATTGTGCTCTTTGAAAGACCACTTTAACAAGTTCAAAATTTAAACCATGCATTGTAAACAGTTCTATATATGGCTTACAGTAATATTCAGACTGTCATGAGTACATTCAATTGATAATATATCATCTTAGCAATAAAGGGCAATTTCTCTCAGTGTTAATGGGCCCATATCCTACATTTTTCTTGTTTTAATTTGCTGAGGTCTGCTTAACATTTGTGTGGGTTTATGTGCCAAAATGGTCATAATTAATTTTAACATGATCAATTTCAACTATTTTTTGTCTCTTAGAACTAAATTGTTTTTGTTTCTGTGCCTTTAATACTGATATATGTAAATGACTTATGTTGTCACTGGTTGCCCTATTCTGTTCCTCCCTCAAAAAGCAGTCCAAGCTAAACCTAGCTCAGCATGAATAAGCGGGGCAAAGCTGTTGTAGCTGGACCAAAAATTCTTGTCCATATTTATGCGCCACCTAACAAAACCTCACAAAGTGAATATTTTCTAAATACTCATGCAGAGAAGTTTAAACCTCTGAGATAAATAAATTTGAGAAACATGGCCATATACTGTCATTCAGACTTTCCCTGCAGAAAAACAGCTTACATCAGCATGCATTCACTTCTGTTTTTGTGCTGATTTAACTGGTGCAGCATACCAGCATCCAAAAGACAACATTATGCCAGTTGTGGTGATGATCAGCATAACAGCTTCCACTGCTGCTGACTAGCAAACCAGCACCAAAAACACATCATATTTGATGGTGAACAGCTATGCTGGTCTATGATAATCTGTGAAGCATTGTTGGAAGACCTCTTGATGCAAATTAGTGCATCCAACTCCACATCCAAAAGGTCAAATTACTTCAGGGTCATATGCTTATTTGCACTTAGCAACAATGTGTTATCTGTGCCTTGACTGGTGTTCATATCGCTTAGTTCCAGTTGGCCCTTTTTCAGTGTAATCTTTGAATTGTTCATGCTACTGTTAAGAAATTTTGTTGAACAAAGCCATTTCTTTCCTTAAAAGTGTTAAGGACATGAGGACTTAAACACATGCACTTCTTTACAGTGAACAGGAATGTGCACTCCATTTTTAGAGTACATACCAATCTATAACGATGATCTACCCTATGCAGCAACTTGTTTACTTTTTGCTTACTTGTCTTGGACAATTACACAATTGAAAAATAAGATTTGTTAATTTAGATCAAAGGTGTTAACCTCTTAGCTCTTAGAATTTTAGAAAATATGTGTAATTTATACTTTTTCAGTAATCAGAGAGGACCGAGATGCAACAGAGAAAAAGAGACAGAGAGAGAGGTAATTGAAATAAAATTAAAGTGAAACTACCTCATTTAGTATAGGAATCAACATGTATCTTCAGCTGAAAATAAACATGTAAACAAATCAATAAATTATTAATTAATTAAATGAATTTAAAAAGGCTAACTGGAGTCAAATCAGTTTATGGAACGATTCATTTTGAACACTGATGAAGGCAAACCAATAACTACATGAAACAGTGTTTGCTGTAACTTAAAAATCAAAATGTTCACTATTGGGTAACACAGAATCAAAATGAGTCACATGTTTACACATAATACGGTGGATACTATATAACAGAAACTGCGATCAGAAATACAACAGCAGGTGCTATAAAGTAATCAACTGTAAACTGCACAGGTTCAACTATTCTGTGCCTCAACACACCTGATCTAGGACATCAACCAATTATCCATCCATTCATGAGGTGGATCAGGTGTGTTGAGGCAGGGGATAGCCTAAAGTGTGCAGTGCAGTGGGTCCCCAGGAGCAAGATTAAGAAATATTGACTTAGACAATCGAAAACGTTCAGTATTGATCAACATAGAAGAGGGTGGTATAAAACAGTGGGTGTTATAAACTATAAATAGCTGCTTATCTAAATAGTAGCTTAAATACATGCTAATCACTGAACATTTAAAGAAACACAGTAACTATCTAAAACAGTGGTTATATCTCAGATAGCAAAACTGCTTATTGATGAGTTCAGAATTAATATAATATTTCTAAACAGATCAGTAAGTGCTACAAAACAGTGCAACCAATTACGTAACAAATATTATAATATTATAGCATAATTACAATATAATATACTAAAATAACTAGACAAGTAAGATATTTTAAAGACAGATCACTGCTGTAAAACCTCATATCTCCAAAATGGTAACTTTACAGGAGAAAGGGAAAACATACTTTACTTTTAATGTACTTTTTAATTTTCCAAATAATTTTGGGCCATTTCTTTTGGTCCATTCCTCATGAAATATGCACACAATGTAAAGGGCAACATATATATATATATATATATATATATATATATATATATATATATATATATATATATATATATATATAAAACTATAGAATAATGGACAATAATTATATCATTAAGAGTAATAATATACCATAGACTTTGAATACTATATAAATACAAAATTAAAGCAAATAAATACTATAATATAGGATTATCATATTATAGTATCATAATATATTATTGGAGCTATAAAACAGTGGCTGCTAAGATGAAGTGAGTGCAAGCAATACTGAAAAAAATCATCTGCTTCCGTCTCATCTGCTCCAGTCAAGTCGAATCAAAGTTTATTTATATAGCGCTTTTTACAACAGGTGTTGTCACAAAGCAGCAGAAAAATCCAGGTCCAAGCCCCCATGAGCAAGCCAATGGCGACAGTGGCAAGGAAAAACTCCCTAAGAGCAAGAGGAAGAAATCTTGAGAGGAACCGAGATCAAAAGGGGAACCCTTCCTCTTCTGGTCGACACCGGATAGCAAACAGCATTAGTATAAAACATTAGAATACAAAATGGGGAAAAACAGGCAGAGCAATGTTTAATTAGATAGTTTGAGTTTATGCAGCAGCAGCCGCATAATCAGGAGGGTCCGTTCATGAAGGTGAGGTTTGCACAGCGCTGTACAGCATGAAGCTCAGTGGTGGTCAAACCAGTCCAGAAGGCTAAAACGATCCAGAAGGCTGGCAAGCAGTGGGCACCCGATCAAGGCAGAAGAAGCAACAGCATCAGACGCACAGGATGGGGAGTTGTTTAACTCAAAGAAAAGGAAAACACACAGAGAGTGAGTTCTGTAAAGAGTGACTGATCACAGATTACAGTATTAACAGACTTCCGCAGGTCTAAATATTACAGCCTAACTAAAAGGGAGAAACCAGAAAGGTAACATGAGGGCTCCCTGAGATGTCAGCGTCCCTCCGCTCCACCGTCAGCAAACTTGAGTGAATGCATGAGAGCAGCGGGACGACAGCATCAACACTCCCAGTTTACCATAATACTCATGTCCATGAACCCCCAGATCTACACGTTTTATCTAACAGGGAAAACTAACTACCAAAGTCTTGACTAAACAAATAGGTTTTTAGCCTAGACTTAAGGACTGAGGCTGTGTCTGAGTCCCGAACACTGACTGGAAGATTATTCCAAAGTTGGGGGGCTTTGTATGAGAAGGCTCACCCCCCTGATATAATTTTATTAATTCTAAGTACTAATAGTAAGCCAGCACCTTGTGATCTAAGTAGGTGTGATGGTTCATAGTATGAGAGAAGTTCACTCAGGTACAGAGGGGTGAGTCCGTTTAGAGTTTTATAGGTCAGTAAAAGAATTTTGTAATCAATGCGAAATTTAAGTGGCAACCAGTGTAGGTTTGATAAAACTGTGCTGATATGGTCAAACTTTCTGGTTCTTGTGAGGACACTGACTGCAGCGTTCTGGACTAGCTGAAGCTTGTTAAGGTTTTTGCTGGAAACATCCAGACAGCAGGGCATTACAGTAATCTAGCCTTGAGGTAATAACTGCATGAAAGGAGGAATGAGCTCCAGCCATTCCTCCTTTGAGAGCACCTCTGTCGAGGGGCAGTAGAAAGGCCCTTTTCACATTTCCACATTCTTTCTGCCAGAAGTAGCTGTTGCCAGGTAATGCTGTAGCAACCCCAGCTGAATGATGGTCAACTCAAGAACCGATGATTCATGAAGGTTTATTTCCTTAGGTTTCATGAATTCACCATAAGAGCTGAATTAAAACATCACATAAAGGAAGGTTTGTAACCGTTAGTTCGCACAATCTAAAGGTGATATTTTGACAAA